TTGGTGATGCCACAGGCGTTAGTCCCTCGCTGTAGCCGGAAATAACCCTGGGAGGTTAAAGGGCATCAGCACCAGAAGGCAGGGAGAGGCCTGCTCTGTCCCCACCCCCATAGATCACCCTCAACTCACCTTTTCACCCCAATTAGTCCCCCAGGAGTTCTTCAGGATCCAGTATGGGGTGGGGCGGGGAGGGCGACGTGAGGACGAGGCTGCTGCTTCCTTCCCAAAACCCACCAGCAGGACAGAGTGGTCCACATGCTGGGGGTCACAGTTGGTGGGTGTGGCCTTGAGCACGCCTTGTTTGTACAGCTGCAGGGTGGGAACGGGGCTGAGTCTGGGCCCTTCTCCCCGCTGTGCCCCCCCACCTGCCCCACCCACACCCACCTGTAATAGCTTCATATTGATGGTCACAGTGATGGGGCCGTGGGTGGCCAGGTACCAGGCGATTTCTAGGGGTGGGAGGTGCTATCAGCCTGCTTGCCCTGGCCCCCCAACCCTCAGCTCCTGGGTGCCTCTCTTCCAGCCCCTTCCAGGCCCCATCTTGGTCTGCAGCCTGGTCTGTGAGCCCTGTCCTCCGCTCCCGCGCCAGCCCGCCTGGGTGTCCACCCTGCTCGCACTCTGCTCGTCGGCTGGCAGCATGATGAAGTCCTGGATCCAGGCCACCTTCTCTCTGTTCTTGTGGTCCCGGCACCTCTGGGGCTCAACGTTCTTCCTGAATGGGTAGCTCCGTTCACTGACTAGGCCACCTGGAAATAAGCAAGAGGAGGGTGAGAATCAGCTCCTGGCACCCCACCCACAGCTGCCGGGAGGCGGGAGGCGGGCTCTCACCTTGGGTGAGGGTGGTTGCAAAGGCGTCCCAGACCCAGCCACCTGAGCAGCCGTCCCTGCATGGGTTACAGTCTAGCAGCTCTGTTGCAACAAGAGAAATGTGGGTGACCAGGCCCTACTCCTGCCCCCCAGGTTCACACCCCCCCGCAACGCTGCCATACGCTGCACAGAGACGTTCATGGGGTGTCGGTTCTTGATGGTCCACAGGGCCTCGATGTTTCCCGCTACTGCCATGGCCCAGCAGCAATTGCAGCTACCCTAGTAAGAAAAGGGGGCAGGATAAGAGGGTGCCACCTTGCCCATTCCTGCCTCCATCCTCTCATGGGGCTGGACCGGGCCAGGGGTTGGGGCAGATACCTGGTCCCTGACAGGGGAGAGGACCCCTGCCTTCCGCCAGTCACAGGAGGGGGGCGCAGGCCGCCCCGACTCTTGAGACCATGCCTTCCTGCTCATGTTGGGGGCTCCTCCAGCTGCCCTCTGATGGAACTGGCCAAACTCCTCCTCTGGGGACACATGGGAGGTCAAAATGGTGACCCCCCCCGCCCCACAGTCTGCCTTTCCCACTCCAGCCGTGCCCGTCCTTGCTCACTTGTCCCCAGAGTACCCGGGACACCGAGACGCCGGGACACTGAGCCCAGAGAGAGGCCGAGCCCCTTGCTGGGGTGCAGCCCCTAGCCCTGTGGCCGGACTGGGGCACGGCCCCCGGTGGTCCTGCCCCACTCTCTGCGCTTGGGGTGAGCGCCAGGGGCCTTGGGGCCTCTGGGCCATGGAAGCTGTGGGTCCGCCTGGCCCCGCCCGGCTGCCAGCGCCCCTGCCTCCCCGCCCCGCCCCAGGCCCCGGGCAGCCCCCAGTACCCGTGAGGTCACTGAACGGAGTCACCCCGAACTCAGCTGTGCCCATGTCCTCCTGCAGCCGCTGCGCCCGGGCCAGGTTGCGAGCAAAGATGTCCAGGCGGCGCGCGTACTCTGCGCCAAAGAGAGGTGACGCCAGGCCGCCGCCCGAGCCCCCCGGGCCTGGCAGTGGCCGCGGCTGGACGTCGTCCTCCCGTACCTGCCCAGGCGAGCGCTGGCTCGGGCGGCCTGTGGAGGCCCCGCTGCGGAGATGGCTTGGGCCCACCAGGGGTTGGGTTTTCCCAGGAGGCAGGAAGTGGGGCGTCAGCCCGGCAGGGGAGAAGCCAGCTCAGGGTCTGAAGGCAGAGTGACTCAGGAGGTGGGAGACCAGCTTCCTGTCGTCTCCTTCCCCCCGGGCCTCACACCTCTGGCCACAGGGAGAGCTGGGGGGGAGCGGAGGGCGCAGGCTGCCCTGCATCCGGTGCACCAGCACTGAAGGCACCCGCAGAGGCGGCCCCCGCGGGGAGCGAGCTCCGCAGGAGTAGGGCCGGCAGCCCCCGTGGACAGGGCGGAGCAGCTCCCCCAGGAGCTGGCCCCGGGGACCCTCGGCCAGGTGGCGGCCCCGCCCCAGCCTGCAGTCACAGCCAAGGGCCGTGGCGGCCCGGGGTCCTCCAAGACGCGATGCCCGTGGCTGCCGCCCCCGCCAGGCTCCTGGCCAAAGGTGACCGAGTCCCTGCTCCCGCAGGCGGGGACCCAGGAGCGCACCCCAGCCCTGCCCTGAGCCCCCTCTCATCAGCTCCTGCGTGCACTTGGGAGGGGTGGAGTGGACAGACGTGGGTACCTGCTGGGGCCCAGTAAGTTCGGTTATGCTGCATCTGGAAGAGCCTGAAGGCCTCTTTCAGCGCCAGAGGCCGGGGCCCGGGGTCCTGGCGAGGAGGACGGGGAGGAGACGGGGACAGGGCAGCTGAGGGGTGACCCTGTGAGCCCCAGGCAGGAGCCCCGCGCCAGCCTGCTCTGTGTCCCTGTGGGAGCCTGGCTTGTCATCCTCCCTCTGGCTCTTCCTCCTCCCTCTGGCCTCCGGGCCTCCCCCGACCCATGAAGGGGGGAGCCCCCTCTCCCACCACCTCCACCACCAGAAGGTGTGGGGAGCAGCCCGGGGGCACTCACCTGGCTTCCGAGGGGGCCCTGCGTGCCTTGGGCCAGGCCGGCCACCCACAGGGGCAGGAGGCAGGAGAAAGGGAGAGTTGGTGACATGGTGCCACAGCCCCACTGACTGCGGGGGGCAGGAAGCCTTGCAGACCAAGCTGGAGGGGCTGGGGGTGGAGCTGGAGAAACCACCAAGTGGAAACCAGACTGGGAGGGGAAGGCAAACCCCTCAGCTCAAGGGCTGCCTCGGGTCTTTGAGCCTTTGCCCCCACGGGGCGCTTTGCCGTCCTGCCCCTTTTTCCTTATTCAGCAGCGGCTCAGCTCACCTTGGTCTGGGCCTTTCTTTTATTTTTTGAAGAAGTATTTATGCATCCAAGAGCTGGGGTGCAGGCCAGCGGTGTGGGGGAGGTGAGAGGGTTCACCAGAGACAGTGGGGAGCGGAGCAGACAGATCTGCTGGGATGGGAGCAGCGGGGAGACAGGAGAGGTCTGCTGCGCCATGTGGGTAGCCCTCTGGCCTGGGATGGTAAGCCCAGGGGCCCCTCTATTTGGAATAAAAGCAATGCTGCCTTGTTCAAATGCAGTAGACAGGGCACACAGGGGGACCTGACCCCTGGGTCTAGACCCCGTGATGGACCCCAAGCTGGTCATGGGCTGTGTGCGGCCTAAGTGTTGGAAGTCTCAGTGTCGGTACCAAAGGGGGTGTCATAGGACTCATCTCTGGTGATGGTGGGGATTACAGAGACTTTTGAGGCATGGGGGCGGTGGGGAAGAGAGACGGGGTATGGAGCTCGGTGACCTTCCTTTTTGATCCTCCTCTTCCCTCCCTCAAATGGGAGCACCATCAGGCCCGGAGATTTTGGCCATTTTTGATCAGTTCTGTACTCCTGGTGTCCAGTGCAGCCGGGCCAGTGGTGGCCACTCAGTAACATTTATTGAAGAATGAATGAACTTGGGCCTCCCTGGTGGCGCAACAGTTGAGCGCTGGGTTGCGAAGCTGCCCGCGGCCTCTGTGGCGCCGGTTCGATCCCCGGCTGCTCCCCGGCCACCGGAGGAGGGTCCCGCATGGTGCGCAGACCTCTCCTGCCGCCCGCTGCTCCCCTCAGCAGTGTACTTCGGTCCTTCTGTCTGCTCTGCTCCCCGCTCTGGCTCTGGTGAATTCTCTCACCCTCCCGCGCTTCTGACTGTACCTAGTACGTGTATGCATAAACAAACAAACAAATACATAAATCTTCTAAAAAAAAAAAGAATGGATGAATTTCCTCATTTGCTTGTCCTGCAACTTCTCACTGGCACCCAGTGAGGGCTGGGCCTTAGACCCAGGGACCTCAGGGGCCTCCTTCTGGGAGGAACACAAGATTTAGTCGGAGAGAGACCCAACCTAGATATAAGCCTTTGGGACCCAGAGAGCAGGGAATGTCGTTATGGTCACAGGCCCCGCACTGCATTCTGGGGAAGCCACTCCAAGCGTCAGGGGTCCTCGTCAGGTCAGGTCCACGCTTGGGCCCCTTGTCATGCTGTTGGGGAAACAGTGTGTCCTGAATGAACTCCACCCACTGATGTTTTATGGACTCCACCCTGATGTCCATGCCGAAGAGATCCCAGGCGCCCAGGACTACAGCTCCCATCATGCCCCGAATCTCGACTTCTTAGAGAGGGATTGCTGGGAACTGAGGATGGAGTGAAGCAGCCACATTTGGTGTAAAACTGAACACTCTGGGGCCTCCCTGGTGGCGCAAGGGGTTAAGTCTCAGCGCTCTGAGGCAGTCTGCAGCCACTGAGGACTGAGTTCTATCCCCAGCCAGGGAGCTACCCACGTGGTGCAGCAGACCTCTCCTGACTCGCCTGCTGCTCCCCTCAGCAGTGGATTTCAGTGTATCCGACTGCTCAGTTCCCCACTCTGTCTCTGGCCTACCTCGCAGCGCCTATGCATGAATAATAAATCTTTGAACAAAACCCTGAATACACGTGGGGCTGAGGGGGCTTGTTTTTGCCTCCCTTCAGCGTGCACTGGGGTCCCAGCTCAGGTAGGGCTATTGGTAGGACGTATTCACAAATGACTCAATCTTAATCTCTCGCTCTCCACTCCCACTTTTCATTTTCCATGTAAAAAAATAAAACATTTTATTAATCTTTTTTTTTTAATTGTAATTGGGAGAGATTTATTTCTTGATGTTGTCATGTATGCTCGCTATTTAGTTCAAGGAAACACTTCTAAGCATAGTTCACTATATGACATAGTGGCAGTAGGTAAATAAAATACAATTTACACAAATTATTTACTTGATTGAAGGCTTTATGGTACATAAAAGGTAGGTTTTTTATAGTTGCTCTCAGTTTTTTTCACACTGACTTCCGTTGTATTTGGGTGTTCTATGACCGAGATTGCTCAGCTGCTGCTGTTGCCATTGGTTTGTTTTCTTTCAGGATCAAGGTGGGTACTTTCATATAAAATCTTATTTTTAATTCCTTCTCTGGCAATTCTTTCCTGGATTCTTCGTTTTGCATAGTTATACCTACAATGGAACCAGCATCCTAAAATCACTAAGGAAAATCCTCCTACTCCAACATCACATGATCTTCTAATTTTACTAGTTAACAAAAAATGTCCCAGGCCAGCCACAACAGATCCTAATGAACCATATAATATCGATTCCCGGGCACAGGGGATGTTTTCAACATCTAAAATTCCTAGAAGTCTAAAGGGCTTTCCCTTCCCGGGTTTGCCCAGCTCCTGCTCGGCGGCTTTGGGGCACCAACCTTTTTTTTTTTTTTTTTTAAGATTTATTTATTTATTTACGCAAGCACTGGGTACAGTCAGAAGCGCGGGAGGGTGAGAGAATTCACCAGAGCCAGAGCAGGGAGCAGCACAGGCAGACTGATGAAACACACTGCTGAGGGGAGCAGCAGGCGGCAGGAGAGGTCTGCGCGCCATGTGGGACCCTCGCTGGTGGCCGGGGATCGAACCGGTGATGCAGAGGCTGTGCCACCAGGGGAGGCCCCTTATTAACCCTTCTATGTGTGCCTACACTTGGGTTTTGTTCTGAAAAAATATTTTTTAAAGATTTATATATGTATACAAAAACTGGGGGGCCTCCTTGGTGGAGCAAGGGGTGAAGTTGCAGAGCTAAGAAGCTATCCGCAGCCACGGCTGCCTGCTGCGCCTCGACCATGAGTGAGGCCCCTCCACTGCCCCGCTGGACAAAAAAGTTGCCATGACTCGGAGGAGCCTGTGCCCGTGCCTGGGTCCTCGCCGGTCTGTGCGTGGGGGCGTGCGGTGTGCGCGCGCGTGTCTGAGGGCTTGCGTGGGAGGCTGTGCGCCTCGGCCCCGAAGGGACCAGGATGTGTCAGAGAGTGGTGTCTGCCCGCTCCCTGCCCACCGTTTGCCCGCCTGAAGTTGTGGTCACAGTTTATTCAGCCATAGCGAGGAGAGTGGGTAACAGGCCAAGCCAGGGGTGGGACTGGCAAGCGGGCAGCTGGCCGGCAGGAGAGAGTGGAGGGGCGGCTGGCAGGCTCAGCGAGGGCAGGAGACTGTCTTCTTCTTTGCTGGCTTGCTCACCCGGGCAGTGAATGGGTACTTGGTGATGCCACAGGCGTTAGTCCCTCGCTGTAGCCGGAAATAACCCTGGGAGGTTAAAGGGCATCAGCACCAGAAGGCAGGGAGAGGCCTGCTCTGTCCCCACCCCCATAGATCACCCTCAACTCACCTTTTCACCCCACTTAGTCCCCCAGGAGTTCTTCAGGATCCAGTATGGGGTGGCACGGGCAGGACGACGTGAGGATGAGGCTGCCACTTCCATCCCAAAACCCACCAGCAGGACAGAGTGGTCCACATGCTGGGGGTCACAGTTGGCGGGTGTGGCCTTGAGCACGCCTTGTTTGTACAGCTGCAGGGTGGGGACAGGGCTGAGTCTGGACCCTTCTCCCCTCTGTACCACTCCCCTACCCCCCACCCACACTCACCTGTAATAGCTTCTTATTGATGGTCACAGTGATGGGGCCGTACGTGGCCAGGTACTTGGCGATTTCTAGGGGTGGAAGGTGCTATCAGCCTGCTTGCCCTGGCCCCCCAACCCTCCGCTCCTGGGTGCCTCTCTTCCAGCCCCTCCCAGGCCCCATCTCGGTCTGCAGCCTGGTCTGTGAGCCCTGTCCTCCGCTCCCGCGCCGGCCCGCCTGGGTGTCCACCCTGCTCGCACCCTGCTCGTCATGTGACAGCATGATGAAGTCCTGGATCCAGGCCACCTTCTTACTATTCCTGTGGGCCTGGCATGTCTTGGGCTCGACGTTCCCCTTGAATGGGTAGTCCTGTTCACTGACCAGGCCACCTGGGAATAAAGGAGAGGAGGGTGAGACTCAGCTCCTGACACCGCACCTGCAGCTGCCCGGGAGGCCGGAGGCAGGCACTCACTGGTGTTAAGGGAGGTTTCAAAGGCGTCCCAGACCCAGCCGGCTGAGCAGCCGTCCCTGTCCCTGCATCGGTCACAGTCCAGCAGCTCTGTTGCAAGAAGGGAAATGTGGGTGACCACACCCTACCCTGGCCCCCAGGTTCACCCTCCCCATCCTTGCCATACGCTGCACAGAGACTTCTACAGACTCTCGGTACTCGATGGCCCACAGGGCTTCTATGTTTCCTGCTGCTGCCATGGCCCAGCCACATCTGCAGGTACCCTAGAGGGTAAGGGGGGCAGGATAAGAGGGTGCCACCTTGCCCATTCCTGCCTCCATCCTCCCATGGGGCTGTACCAGGCCAGGGGTTGGGGCAGATACCTGGTCCCTGACAGAGAAGTCTCTGTGCTTCCGCCAGTCACAGGAGGGGGGCGCAGGCCGCCCCGACTCTTGAGACCATGCCTTCCTGCTCATGTTGGGGGCTCCTCCAGCTGCCCTCTGATGGAACTGGCCAAACTCCTCCTCTGGGGACACATGGGAGGTCAAAATGGTGACCCCCCCCGCCCCACAGTCTGCCTTTCCCACTCCAGCCGTGCCCGTCCTTGCTCACTTGTCCCCAGAGTACCCGGGACACCGAGACGCCGGGACACTGAGCCCAGAGAGAGGCCGAGCCCCTTGCTGGGGTGCAGCCCCTAGCCCTGTGGCCGGACTGGGGCACGGCCCCCGGTGGTCCTGCCCCACTCTCTGCGCTTGGGGTGAGCGCCAGGGGCCTTGGGGCCTCTGGGCCATGGAAGCTGTGGGTCCGCCTGGCCCCGCCCGGCTGCCAGCGCCCCTGCCTCCCCGCCCCGCCCCAGGCCCCGGGCAGCCCCCAGTACCCGTGAGGTCACTGAACGGAGTCACCCCGAACTCAGCTGTGCCCATGTCCTCCTGCAGCCGCTGCGCCCGGGCCAGGTTGCGAGCAAAGATGTCCAGGCGGCGCGCGTACTCTGCGCCAAAGAGAGGTGACGCCAGGCCGCCGCCCGAGCCCCCCGGGCCTGGCAGTGGCCGCGGCTGGACGTCGTCCTCCCGCACCTGCCCAGGCGAGCGCTGGCTCGGGCGGCCTGTGGAGGCCCCGCTGCGGAGATGGCTTGGGCCCACCAGGGGTTGGGTTTTCCCAGGAGGCAGGAAGTGGGGCGTCAGCCCGGCAGGGGAGAAGCCAGCTCAGGGTCTGAAGGCAGAGTGACTCAGGAGGTGGGAGACCAGCTTCCTGTCGTCTCCTTCCCCCCCGGGCCTCACACCTCTGGCCACAGGGAGAGCTGGGGGGGAGCGGAGGGCGCAGGCTGCCCTGCATCCGGTGCACCAGCACCTGCACTGAAGGCACCCGCAGAGGCGGCCCCCGCGGGGAGCGAGCTCCGCAGGAGTAGGGCCGGCAGCCCCCGTGGACAGGGCGGAGCAGCTCCCCCAGGAGCTGGCCCCGGGGACCCTCGGCCAGGTGGCGGCCCCGCCCCAGCCTGCAGTCACAGCCAAGGGCCGTGGCGGCCCGGGGTCCTCCAAGACGCGATGCCCGTGGCTGCCGCCCCCGCCAGGCTCCTGGCCAAAGGTGACCGAGTCCCTGCTCCCGCAGGCGGGGGCCCAGGAGCGCACCCCAGCCCTGCCCTGAGCCCCCTCTCATCAGCTCCTGCGCGCACTTGGGAGGGGTGGAGTGGACAGACGCGGGTACCTGCTGGGGCCCAGTAAGTTCGGTTATGCTGGATCTGGAAGAGCCTGAAGGCCTCTTTCAGCACCAGAGGCCGGGGCCCGGGGTCCTGGCGAGGAGGACGGGGAGGAGAGGGGGACAGGGCAGCTGAGGGGTGACCCTGTGAGCCCCAGGCAGGAGCCCCGCGCCAGCCTGCTCTGTGTCCCTGCGGGAGCCTGGCTTGTCATCCTCCCTCTGGCCTCCGGGCCTCCCCCAACCCATGAAGGGGGGAGCCCCCACTCCCACCACCTCCACCACAGAGGGTGTGGGGAGCAGCCCGGGGGCACTCACCTGGCTTCCGAGGGGGCCCTGCGTGCCTTGGGCCAGGCCGGCTACCCACAGGGGCAGGAGGCAGGAGAAAGGGAGAGTTGGTGACATGGTGCCACAGCCCCACTGACTGCGGGGGGCAGGAAGCCTTGCAGACCAAGCTGGAGGGGCTGGGGGTGGAGCTGGAGAAACCACCAAGTGGAAACCAGACTGGGAGGGGAAGGCAAACCCCTCAGCTCAAGGGCTGCCTCGGGTCTTTGAGCCTTTGCCCCCACGGGGCGCTTTGCCGTCCTGCCCCTTTTTCCTTATTCAGCAGCGGCTCAGCTCACCTTGGTCTGGGCCTTTCTTTTATTTTTTGAAGAAGTATTTATGCATCCAAGAGCTGGGGTGCAGGCCAGCGGTGAAGGGGAGGTGAGAGGGTTCACCAGAGACAGTGGGGAGCGGAGCAGACAGATCTGCTGGGATGGGAGCAGCGGGGAGACAGGAGAGGTCTGCTGCGCCATGTGGATAGCCCTCTGGCCTGGGACAGGGCACACAGGGGGACCTGACCCTGGGTCTAGACCCCAGTGATGGACCCCAAGCTGGTCGTGGGCTGTGTGTGGCCTAAGTGTCAGTGTTCAGAGTTGGAGGTCTCAGTGTAGGCCCCCAAGGGGTTGTCATTGTACACACATCTGGTGATGGTGGGGATTACAGACTTTTGAGGCTGGGAGGGGGTGGGGAAGAGAGTTGGGGGTGGAGCTGGGTGACCTTCCTTTTTCATCCTCCTCTTCCCTCCCTTGAATGGGAGCACCATGAGGCCCAGAGATTTTGGCCATTTTTTTTAAAAGGATTTATTTATTTATGCATAAAAGAGCTGGGGTACAGGAGAGAGGTGTGGGGGGTGAGAGGATTCACCAGAGACAGAGCGGGGAACAGAACAGGCAGACTGACTGAAATACACTGCTGAGGGGAGCAGCGGTCGAGGCAGGAGAGGTCTGCTGTGCCATGTGGGTTTCTCCCTGACTGGCCAGGGATCAAACTCATGCTGGAGAGGCTGTTGATTGCGTCACAGTGTGGTGCTTAGCCCCTTGTACCACCAGGGAGGCCCAGATTTTGGCCATTTTTTTTTTTTTTAACAGTTTTTTTTTTTTTTTTTTTTAAGATTTATTTATTTATTTATACATGCACTGGGTACAGTCAGAAGCGCGGGAGGGTGAGAGAATTCACCAGAGCCAGAGCAGGGAGCAGAGCAGGCAGAAGGACCGAAGTGCACTGCTGAGGGGAGCAGCGGGCCGCAGGAGAGGTCTGTGCGCCATGTGGGACCCTCCTCTGGTGGCCGGGGAGCAGCCGGGGATCGAACCGGCGCTGCAGAGGCTGTGGGCAGCTTCGCAACCCAGTGCTCAACCGCTGCGCCACCGGGGAGGCCCCAGATTTTGGCCATTTTTGATCAGCGCTGTGATCCTGGTGTCCAGCACAGCCCAGCCACTCAGTAAACATTTGCTGAAGAATGGATGAACTTCCTCATTTGCTCGTCCTGCAACTTCTCACTGGCACCCAGTGAGGGCTGGGCCTTAGACCCAGGGACCTCAGGGGCCTCCTTCTGGGAGGAACACAAGATTTAGTCGGAGAGAGACCCAACCTGGATATAAGCCTTTGGGACCCAGAGAGCAGGGAATGTCGTTATGGTCACAGGCCCCGCACTGCATTCTGGGGAAGCCACTCCAAGCGTCAGGGGTCCTCGTCAGGTCAGGTCCACGCTTGGGCCCCTTGTCATGCTGTTGGGGAAACAGTGTGTCCTGAATGAACTCCACCCACTGATGTTTTATGGACTCCACCCTGATGTCCATGCCGAAGAGATCCCAGGCGCCCAGGACTACAGCTCCCATCATGCCATGAATCTTTTTTTTTATTTATTAAGATTTTTTATTTATTTATACAAGAACTGGGGTATAGGTCAGAGGCACGGGTGGGTGAGAGAATTCACCAGAGAGAGCGGGGATCAGAATAGGCAGACAGACCGAAGATACTGCCGAGGGGAACAGCAGGCGAGGCAGGAGAGGTCTGCTGTGCCATGTGGGTAGCTCCCTGGCTGGCCGGGAATCAAACCCTGCTGCAGAGGCTGAGGACAGCTTCACAGTGAGGCACTCAACCTGCTGCGCCACCGGGGCGGCCCCATGCCATCTTGACTTCTTAAAGGGGGATTGCTGGAAACTAAGGGTGGAGTTAAACAGTCACATTTGGTATAAAACAGAAGATACTGGGGCCTCCCTGGTGGCACAAGGGGTTAAGTCTCAGCACTATGAAGCTGTCTGCAACCACTCATAGGGCACAAGTTGAATCCCTGGCCAGGGAACTGACATGGCACAGCAGACCTTCCTGTCTTTCGCTGCTCTCCCCAACAGTGTATTTCAGTCAATCTGCTTGTTCTGTTCCCCACTGTGTCTCTCATCCCCCACTCTGCACCTCTGGCCTGCACCCCAGCTCTTGTATGCATAAATAAATAAATCTTTTTTAAAAAAACCAACAACTGGGGTCTAGGCCAGAGGTGTTTGAGGGGTTTGGTGGGGAAGAGGATTCACCAGAGAGCGAGGAGCAGAACAAGCAGGTCTACTGAGATCCACTGCCAAGGGGCGCAGTGAGCGAGACAGGAGAGGTCTGCTGCGCCATGTGGGTTGCTCCCTGGTAAGGGGTGCACTCAGGCTGGGGTGGTGAGAGCACTGAGACTTAGCCCCTAGGCCTGTAGGGCGGCACTGGAACAGTGAGCTCTCCTTGATCATCAAGAACTATTTTAATTTTTAAGAATAATAGCTTTCTCAAGAGGTAATCACATACCAGGGCCTCCCTCGTGGCGCAGGGGTTAAGACGCAACCTATGAAGTAATCTGCAGCCATTGCAGCAGGAGTTTGATTCCCGGCTGGCCAGGGAGAACCCCACATGGGGCAGCAGACCTCTCCTGACTCGCCCGCTGCTCCCCTCAGTAGTGTACTACGGTCATTCTGCCTGTTTTGTTCCCCGTTCTGTCTCTGGTGAATCCTCTCTCCCCCTGCATATCTGGCCTCTACACCGATTCTTGTATAAAAATAAATAAATCTTTAAAAAAAGATATAATCACGTAGCATAAAATTCACCCTTTTAAAAAGCACTAGTCAGTGGTTGTTACTGTGCTTGCCTGACATATGTGCCAGGCAACTATGTTTATTTCAGAGCATTTTCAAGATGTATCCCAGCAGCGCTCCGTGCCTGTTCTGGCTGAACAAGGGTCGCTTGTGTCACCACGTGTTGTTATTCCTCCATCACTGATGAATCCCGTTGCTATGAACATTATGTACCGATTTTTTGTGTGATGTTTTCAGTTCTCCTGGGCCTCCACCTAGGAGTGAACTTGCTGTATCACGTGGGAACATTTTGAGGACCTGCCAGACTGCTGCTTCCCTCGGTGGCTCTTCCACCTTCCATTCCCAGCCGCAGCGTGAGAGCCCCAACCTCTCACCACCCCAGCCTGGTGCACCCCTCACCAGGGGCTACCCACACGGCGCAGCAGACTCTCCCGCCTCGCTCACTGCTCCCCTCAGCAGTGGATTGCAGTGGCCCTGCTTGCTCTGCTCCTCGCTCTCGGGTGAATCCTCTCCCCCACCTCCCCACACCACGTCCTCGCCAACACTTATTTTTTTTTTTTTTTTTTTAGAGGCATGTTTTATTTATTTATTTATTTATTTGTTCGTTTGTTCATGCACTGGGTACAGTCAGAAGCGCGGGAGGGCGAGAGAATTCACCGGAGCCAGAGCGGGGAGCAGAGCAGGCAGAAGGACCGAAGTACACTGCTGAGGGGAGCAGCAGGCGGCAGGAGAGGTCTGTGCGCCATGTGGGACCCTCCTCCGGTGGCCGGGGAGCAGCCGGGAATCGAACCGGCGCCGCAGAGGCAGCGGGCAGCCTCGCAACCCAGCGCTCAACCGCTGCGCCACCGGGGAGGCCCCTCGCCAACACTTAATTAACTTTTATTTAAGACCTATTAATTTTAGCCTCCTCTCCCACGCAGCTGCGAAGACGCTGGACCCGGAGGGGGGCACTTTCCTGGCCACCCTGAACCAGAGGGCGCACCTCAGGATCCAGCCGCACCTCCGCTCCTCCAGGGGTCTCTCGGGCGACCGCGAGGAGAAGCTGCTGGGGAGGGAAGGGAGGACTTGGCAGCCCCCCCGCGCCACCTACCCCGCAGGCGGGGATCCCTGGACACGCGGCCCTTTCCCGTCTGGCCCCGCCCCGAGACGTGGGCCGCGCGGCCGCCCCTTCCTGGGAGCCGGGGCCCAGACCCCGCCCCCGAGGGCTCGCCCTCCGCGGGGGGGGGCGGGAACCCTGGGGGGCGGGGCGGGGGGGGAGCCGAAGGCGCTGGCGGGACCCTGGCGCCCCGCGGGCCTCTCAGGGGCTTCCATTCATTCCGGGCCAGAAGGAAACTCGCCGACCCGGCTGTCATCCCCTGGTGGCGGCGGGCGGGGCGGGGGCTGTCCTGGGGGAGGGGGCGGCGGGGAAGGGGCGGGCTGGGGCTGCTCCCTGAGCGAGGCGGGTTCGAGAGCCCTGGAGGGAGGTTTGGGGTGCCGGCGGCTGTCCGCGGACGGCCCGGAGTAGCATGCCCGAAGGTTGCGGGGCGGCCCGGGCGATGCCGGGAATGACATTTCTGGGCGACGCGGTGGGATTCCCGGGGGCCCGGGGTTCAGACGTGACTGTGCCAGACGGAAGTCCGGGGGCTTGAGCTAGGGAGGGTCCAGGTCCGGGGCGACTTTCCAGGGTGCGTAAAGCGAGGGCCCGGGACTCCCCGACGCGTCCGGGGACCTGGCGACGGGCGAGTGTCCAGGACGCGGCGCCGGGGGACCCTGGCCCGGCGCCGGGAGGCGGCTCCGGCGGCGCCGCGGGGGACCGGGCGGGGGCCTGCGGCCGGCCGGAGGCGGAGAAGCGGGGGGTCGGGGTCCCTCCCCCCTGGCGCGGGCTCAGGAATCCGCCGCGGGGCGGGCGGAGGCGCCGGGGTGGGCCGCGCGGCGGGCGGGGGGCGCTTCCTGGGGCCGCGCGTCCAGGGAGCTGCGCCGCGCCGGGCCGGGCCGTCTGCCGCGGGCACTGCCGGAGCCGCCGAGCCGCGCGGGCCTCGGGCCTCGGGGGCGTCGCGGGCCCAAGTGAGTGACCGTCCGCGGGGGAGGGCGCGGGCCGGAGTCTCGGCCCGGGCGGCGTCAGCTCGCAGCCCGAGGCCCGCGCTCCGCGGCCGGCGCCACTGCGGGAGCGGGCGGGGGCGGGGCGGCCGGGCCGGTGGGCCGCGAACCCCGGCCGGTGGGAGAAGTGGGCCCGCGGCCTTGAGGGGCTCCGGACCCCAGTCTCGGTCCTGCGCGGGAGGCGGCGGGGTCAGCGCGCTCAGTCCTGGCACTGGGCACGGGGGTTGCCGTGGCAGAGGAGCCCGGACCTCTGCCCACCACCTCCCAAACCTAGGATGCTCCCCTGTGCCTCCTGCCTCCCGGGGTCTCGACTGCTTTGGGCGCTGCTGCTGTTGCTCTTGGGGGCAGCCTCACCCCAGGATTCGGAGGAGCCGGACAGCTACACGGTGGGGACAGTGGGACGACTCACCCCTCCTGGGCAGGGCAGGGGCAGGGAGACCAGGCTCCCGGGGTGGGTGGGAAGACTCTCCCCTCCCCTGGTTGGCGCAGCAGCTGGGGGCCATTGTTTGGAGCAGGCCAGGAGGGTGGCGAGGCTCAGGCCCTGGTGTTGGCCTGGCCAGTTGGAGGGGCCTGGGGGTGACCACTGACCCCCTTCTGGCCACTTCTAGGAATGCACAGATGGCTACGAGTGGGACCCTGACAGCCAGCACTGCCGGGGTGAGTGTGCTGGGGAGGCTGACCCCCCACTCCAGGAACAGGAAGGGGATTGACGCTTCCCAAGGACAACCCCACCTCCCAGGGCTGCAGCCGGACCCAATGGCTTGTCTTCTGCCAGCTCTGGTTCTCTGGGGGCCAGCTCAGCAGGGGTGGAGAAGCCATCCAGGCCCCACCCCGGCAGAGAAACCCAGGGAGCCCTACCCCCACCCCTATAAGCAAGAGAGCAACTGGGGATGGCTGGAGGGCTGGGTCCTGACACCTCCTTGCAGCCCCACTCCTGTGCGGCTCTGCCAGCGTCCCTGAGGGCAGCCCCCCGGGGTGGGCATGTCAGGCCTGGGCTGCATATCAGGCCTGGGCTGAGTCAGGGCCAGGGCTTTGGACAGGGATAGAGACCCACTTGGGGGCAGGAGAATGAGAGTGACTGTGGGAACCCTGCTGCTCCCTGCCCCCCACCCCCACCCCATTAGCCCTCACAGACCCTGGGAGGGCTGCTGGGCAGAGTCTCAGCTTGTTGAGCAGGGAGGGAAGGCCTTGCTGGGTCCCATTGCTTAGAGAAGGCCAAGCTGGGTTCCAGCCCCAGAGACGGGCTGTGCCCAGCAGGCCCCTCTCTGTAGATGTCAACGAGTGCTTGACCATCCCCGAGGCCTGCAAGGGGGAGATGAAATGCATCAACCACTACGGGGGCTACTTGTGCCTGCCCCGCTCAGCTGCTGTCATCAACGACCTGCATGGCGAGGGGCCCCCACCACCGGTGCCCCCAGCTCAGCACCCCAACCCCTGCCCTCCAGGCTATGAGCCTGATGAGCAAGAGAGCTGTGTGGGTGAGTGGGGGCCGCCCCAGCCCGAGGCGGTTAGTTTTCCAACCAAATTTCTCTTACTCTGTCTCAACTCACACCTCATATTCCTCCCTAGTTCAAAAGGGTCCTCCTGGGGCCCCTGGGCCAGGTCTCATTCTGTGGGGGGCCTGCCATGGGTGACCCCAGCTCTGTCCCCGGGACCCTCCTCCCCATTGCTGCTGACACTGCAGAAGCTCTGCCTCAGCCCACTGCCCCCTTCCCGCTCTGGACCTCACCCCTGGATCCCCAGGGATGGTCCCCACTCCAACTCACCTCCAGGCTTCCTTCCAGTCCCCTGCCACCTCTGATCTATCACCACACACAGCGGGTATGTGTGCTGGTGGTGGGGTTCCTGCCTAGCCTGGTCCAGCCCGGCCCCCAAGACACGGGTAAAACTATGACTGGTGAGGGCATGAGCCCCACCTGGCTTGAGCTCCCCCTGACTCCTGCCTTGAAGGAGGAAAGGGACCTGTAATTAGCACTCCTTGGGGGCTGGGCGAGGCTTTGTAGCCTGTGCTTTCCTGGTGTGGGGTCTCATGAGTTAGGGGTACCTCCCTCTCCCGTGCCTCCCAGGCTGGTGGGGTATTATTCGTGTTTTGGGGAGGGTCTAATTCACATGCCTGTTTTGGGGGTACCAGTCACCCATGTGCTCCTGAGTGGTACTCGGCCTGTGTCCTCCCACACCGGGGCATCACCCTGGCAGCCCCTGGGCTGTTCGGTGGGTGCTGACTGGCCTCTCCCGCAGATGTGGACGAGTGTGCCCAGGCCCTGCACGACTGCCGGCCCAGCCAGGAGTGCCACAACCTGCCCGGCTCCTACCAGTGCACCTGCCCCGACGGCTACAGGAAGATCGGGCCCGAGTGTGTGGGTGAGTCCCAGGAGGGGCCTCTCTGCAACCTGCGCTGGCCTGGCCTGGCTCTCACCCTGGGACCCCGGCACCTGAACCCCCATATCACGCCTGGGTTTCACGCCAGCGCCTGCCACCTGTGTCCTCCCGTCACGAGATACAGGACTGTATGGGGGGGGCCCGGTTGACCTGGCCCAGGCCAGCCCCAGATACCCCCAGACATGGCTTATGGGGCCTCGAGTCCCACCTGCCCTCTGCCCTCCCCCCAGATATAGATGAGTGTCGCTACCGCTACTGCCAGCACCGCTGCGTGAACCTGCCTGGCTCCTTCCGCTGCCAGTGCGAGCCCGGCTTCCAGCTGGGGCCCAACAACCGCTCCTGTGTGGGTGAGGCGGGGCCAGGCCGGGCTCCTGGGTCCTGGGCAGGGTGGCGGGGTGGGGATACCCTTCCTGACCAGCCCGGATGAAGCGGGACTCGGGGCTGCTCCTCTGCTTTCACCCCTCCCATTTTTCCTGGCATCCCCAGATGTGAACGAGTGTGACATGGGGGCCCCGTGTGAGCAGCGTTGCTTCAACTCCTATGGGACCTTTCTGTGTCGCTGCCACCAGGGCTACGAGCTGCACCGGGATGGCTTCTCCTGCAGCGGTGAGGACCCCTCCCAGCCCCACGCGTGTTCCTCCTTTGCCCTGGCATCGTGCGGGGCTCCTGCCTCTCAGTCTCCATTTGCTGCCTCGTGCCAGTCCATCCCGCACCCCGTGGCTCCTGTGGACTCGGGTCCTTGCTGGCCGAGGGGCACTCGCAGATCTGCCCACCAGGCTGGTGGGGAAGGCACGAGGGGGCAGTTAGGAAGGAGACTGAGCCAGGATGTGGGAGCCCCCTTCCCTGGGCGTGTAAAGGGGGTTGTGAGGATTTCGTGGAAATGATTGGACTGTCGAGTCCCAGGCCACACGCTTCAGTGAGCTACCATTCGTCGGCGCCTGCGCTGAGCAGCGCGCGCCCCTACACACTGGCCTCTTTTAATTCTGCCAAAAAACCTATGAGGTAAGTATGATTTTCTCCTTCCTCTGCAAAATGAGGACAGTAATATCTCCCTTGAGGTTTGTTGGGAGGATAGGAAAAAAAAAAAAAAGAGCATAAAGTCCTGGATAAGTGGTGACTTTCCCCACTCAGCGAGAGGTTAAGTGACCTGCCCAAGGTCATACAGCTAAGCCGAGGGGGACCACGGGCTCCATCTGCGTTAACCGGCGTGTGACCTGTTCCTGTGCCATGTCAGCTGGCCACGCTACCTGCTGATGTCATGCTTGCCGCCAAGAATCACAGTACCTGGCACAGAGCTAGGCAGCCGAGGCGACCACAGTAGGGAGCCGGGCTCCTGCCCCAAGGGGTCCCTGGTGGCAGGGAACTGTGCTTGGGCTGATGATTTGCAGCAATTGGACAAGTATTGAGGATCACAGCAATCTGGGTCCTCAAGGCTCATCTCATCTAAGCCGCTCATTTTGTTGACAGGGAAAACTGAGGGCCCCCAAACCCGGTCACAGCAGGGTTTGGAGCCAAGACTCCAAATTCCCAGTGTTTTCTTTCTTTCTTTTTTTAAATTTACGCATACAAGAACTGGGGTACAGGCCAGAGGTGTGGGGGGTGAAAGGATTCACCAGAGACAGAGTGGGGAGCAGAACAGGCAGATCTACTGAAATCCACTGCTGAGGGGAGCAGCGGGGAGACAGGAGAGGTCTGCTGCGCCCTGCGGGTAGCTCCCTGGCCGTGCATTGAACTCGTGCCGCAGAGCCTGGGGACAGCTTCATCATGCTGCGTCTTAATCCCTGCGCCACCAGGGAGGCCCCTCCCAGTGCTTTCATTTAGTATCATTTAATAACCCTGGGCCACAGAGAGGGGTCTGTAAGCTGGGCAGCCTGGACAGAACTTCCTTTGAATCCTCTGTCCCCCAGGTGAACTTTGTTGGGGGGGTCAGTCCTCCATCTCCCCACATTGAGCTTAACAGGGGCCGTCCTCTCTGAGTAAGGGAGAGGGCCTGCATTGAGGGGCTCGCCCACCCCGACTCTTGCGCAGATATTGACGAGTGCAGCTACTCCAGTTACCTTTGCCAGTACCGCTGCGTCAACGAGCCCGGCCGCTTCTCCTGCCACTGTCCGCAGGGCTACCAGCTGCTGGCCACCCGCCTCTGCCAAGGTACGGGATGCCCGCGGGGGTCAGGGGGGTGCAGGGGTTGGTGGCCTGGCTGCTGGGCTCCAGCTCCCGTCCCCTGGCCCAGACATTGACGAATGCGAGTCGGGCGAGCACCAGTGCTCCGAGGCCCAAACCTGCGTCAACTTCCATGGGGGCTACCGCTGCGTGGACACCAACCGCTGCGTGGAGCCCTATGTCCAGGTGTCTGACAAGTGAGTCCGCGGGAGGCCGGGCGCCCGCGGGAACTACAACTCCCAGAGGGCTCTGCGGCGGGCCGGTCGGCGGGCCGGCGAGGGGGCGTAGGAAGGGGTGGGCGCGGTGTCACGGTTGGATGGGGAGGAGCCTTTTGGGGGTCCCTAATTTGGGGGCCCAGGCCTCATTCGCGTCCCCATCCCGGGGCCCGCAGCCGCTGTCTCTGCCCGGCCTCCAACCCCCTGTGCCGGGAGCAGCCCTCGTCCATCGTGCACCGCTACATGAGCATCACCTCCGAGCGGAGCGTGCCGGCCGACGTGTTCCAGATCCAGGCCACCTCGGTCTACCCCGGCGCCTACAACGCCTTTCAGATCCGCGCCGGAAACTCGCAGGAGGACTTCTACATTAGGGTAAGACTTTCCCCTAACCCCACCCCTCGACCCACGGGCTGAATCCAAAACTGAATTCCGGAAACCTTGGCGGTGGCGGAGGGGGTGAGGCCACGCGCCCGCCTCTTCCCCAGGCCCCACCCCCGAGGCGGGGCTCCCGCAGAAAGGTAGGGGTGTCCCAAATCCCCTTGGTGCACACGTAGATTGTTAAATGCGATTCTGAGGAGGCAGAGGGACGCCGGGTTCGAGTCCCGGTGCTGGCCTGGGTGTCTGGCGTCAGCTTTTTTACCCGGTAAACAAGGGGATGGCGGGAGAGGCGTTCCCGGCAAACACGCCCGAGTCGGGGAAGGACAGGCAAGTGGCGCTGGGCCTTGAAGAGAGGTAGCAACCGTCTGCTGGGGCCTGGGTGGGAGACTCCAGCTCAGCAGGCAGAGCTACGGGGAGTGAGGGGTGCAGCCGCGCCTCAGACAGAGCAGTGCAAGGGGCTGGTGGCAGTGCTGTTTTTTTCTTTCCGAAATTGAAGTTGAGGGGGCGTTGGCCTGCTGCAGGTCCCCAAAGGCCCCACCACTCCGGAGAGCCTCACACTTGGCCTTAAATCATCAGCTGACGCTGGTTAGACAAATGCGTTGACTGGAATGCTCGGGAGGTTCCCGAGCCCGATGCGAGTCTGGGCTCATGAGTGGGGCTCAGATTCTCACCACCTCACAGCCAACGGGTAGCTGGGGCAGGGAGGTGACGCGGGGGTTGGATCCTGGCACACGGTGATAGGCTCCATGTGTCCCCCACCCACTGTGCCCTGCAGCAAATCAACAACGTCAGCGCCATGCTGGTCCTCGCCCGGCCGGTGACGGGCCCCCGGGAGTACGTGCTGGACCTCGAGATGGTTACCATGAACTCCCTCATGAGCTACCGGGCCAGCTCCGTACTGAGACTCACCGTCTTCGTGGGGGCCTACACCTTCTGAGAATGGGTGGGGGACCCGTCAGGGAGGGGGAGGTGCCCTGCAGCCCAGGAGCTTGGGGCTCAGGGATGACTGTGTTCTGCTAAAAGGAAAGACGCTGTTGTGAAGGGTAGAGAGAAAGGCAATAAAGGGAGAAAGAAGGAGTCCTGGTGGCTGAGGGGGGACACTGTAGTGAGCCCCAGACTGGGGAAGGGGCCTGCTTGCGGGAGGTAGGCCAAGTCCACTTAAAGGGGGGTATTTTCTGCTCAGGCAGAAAGAGCCCATGGATGGGACCCAGTGGGGGTCACTCCCCAGGCCAAGGGTGTCAGAACTGCCCCACCAGGAAGAGGTCATGAGGCTGTGGACTCCAGGCTTCCAAGCAAAAATCTGGGCCTGGCTGGTTTGCAGGGGGGTCGGGAACAGCGCTTTACAGCTGCAGGGGTTCCTGGCTTCCAATTCTCAGTTGGCATCAAGCCATCAATTTGGACAAACCCTAGTAGCTTCCCAGGCCTCATTTTGCCATCCGTCACACAAGATGGCTAGACTGTTAGTGCTTTTCAAACTTGTCTTTTCCAAGCTCTAGAATGTCTTGTTAAAGGAAATTTCTATTTCCCCAGGGACCATCTGATGACATAAAGTAGATTCAAAGTTGCAATGCCTCAGACTCCATCTGCCTGGCGTCTCTGCTCCACCAGGGAACCCCAGGGTTCTGAGGTGCTCAGTTTAAAATCTAAGGGAAATGATGGCCTCCCCCAATCCTGTCTGGGAGTTTTATACAGCCTCCAGGGCCTGGCGTCTCCACCATGACACGCAGGCTGCGGACACCAAAATTTTTATTATATCCCAAAAGATTCTGGTTAAAAGGCTGTCTAGCCTGTGTGGGGGAGGCAAGGCCGGGCAGAGCTCAGGTCAGGGGGCCTCGGGTGCAGTAGAGCTGGGACAAGGTCCTGCTCAGAGCGGGCCCCAGATTCCTGTGCGAAGAAAGAGGCTGGTGAGGTCAGGCCCCCCAGGGCAGCACTGCCCTTCCCACCACATTCCGCCCCTTGCCCTCACCTCTGCAGGCGCCCACACTTGATGGTGCTCAGCATCGCCTCCTGCTCCTGGGGGGTGGCACAGGCGTCATAGGCGGCCAGGAGGCTGGGGGTGGGGAGGAGTATTTGAGTTTTTACGGCTGCTGGTCCAGTCTGAGTGACCTGGGCCGGCATCATGAGGACCAGCAGGAAGGGGCTGGGCAGGAAGGAGCCAGCCAGGGGGGCTGGTGGGTGGGGTCTTATTTCCTGAGCCTGGCATTCAGGGCCCGGTTCCATCCTGCTCACCCTCCCTTCCTGCAGGAGTCCTGGGGCAGAGCCAGCAAATGCTCTCCACGCCTGGCCGTTCTTGGCCCAGTCTTCCCGGCCCAAATCCCTGCCCCAGGAAGCCTCTGCTGCACAGGTAGCATGGTTCCTTTCCTTCTGTGGCCTCCCCCAATGTCCCTGTGCCCCATCTCCGTGCGCTACCTGGCTCTGTCATTTCTTGTGATGTCCAGAAGGCTCCCCAAGCGCTACTTGTGCTAAATTCCATCAGGGAGGGCAGAGGGGGCTCTGCTGGGGCTTACCTGGCAGGGGTGCTGTACCGGTCCACCAAGGCGGCTGCCTTCTCCCCACTCACTCCACGCACCTGCATCAGCTGCCGGGCAAACACGTCTCGCACTGACTGGGCCTGGAGTTGGGAGGACTATTTTAGGGGTGGCCCGGAGCTGGGAGGACCAGCGGTGTGGACTGGGGCTGGGCTATAGGAGATGCTGCCGCGCAGAGGAGGTACCTTGTTCTTGATCGCTCCCGCGTTGAAGTCATTGAAGGTGAGGAGTGAGCAGAGAGGATTTGGTGAAGGCCCAGCCCCAGATTCAGGGTCCCCTGAGGTTCCCCAGGGGCGACTTCGTAGTGTGTGGCCCTGAGGGAAGAGGGAGCTGATACCAACCCAGAACTCCAGGGGACAACCCTGGCCAGTTCCTGTCTGGAACTAGGCCTTGGTGGGTTGGCCTGAGAAACAGGTCTTACTCACCTTGCCTGCCTTGGGGGAATGCAAGGCCCAGCAAAGGAGGTAGCATCAGGCAGGTGTACCTGCTCACCTCGTACAGTCTCTGCAGGCCCCGTGTCAAGAGGGCCAGGTAGGCGGCTGACTCCTTAATGTCGGCCGTGCGTTTCACGAAGAAGCCGTCGATGATCTAGAAAAGAGGATGTGAGGTGGGGATGTGGTTCCTGGCTTGGGCCACAGACCACAGGGCTCTGGCCCACCCGGGGTTAAGTTAACCAGCTCCAGCTCACCTGCGTGTTGGTGACAGCCTGCAGCAGCGTGCTCTCGGGGAGGCTGAGGTGGTGTGCTGAGCCGTGCTCCTCCACCAGGTACACTCGGCGCCTCAGGCCGCAGCGCTTTAGCCGGAACTGGAGAGGCAACAGGGGCATGGGGGTGTCAGGCAGGATGTCAACGGGCGAGTCACAGGCCTCCCTTGTCCCACCCGTTGCCTCCAACTCCTCCCCAAACTCGGAGGGGCCTCCATGCCTTTGCTCTCGCTGTTGCTCTGGCGTGGAAGCCAGTTTTAGCGCCAGTTCCTAAAGTGATACTTCACTTTATTTGAGGTAATGTGGGTGGCGCCCATTCCTCAAGGTCCCCCTTGGCCTGTATGTGGTCTCTCTGACCATGGGGTCAGCCCAGTAGCCACCTAGATCGACCACGTCGGCTTCTCTCCTGAAGACAGAGCCTTATTTGCTCCAGGCTGTAGGGCTGACTCTCAGGAATGTCTAACACACTGCTCGCCCCAGTTTAGACTCCTTGCACTTAGGCTGCATCTGGCCTAAGTGCCTGCAGGGTCTGAATTGGGGCTGCCTGGAGCCTGAATTGGGGCTCTATGGGAGTGTGGCTGGTGTCCCCAGGAGCTCCGCCCCCAGGCCCTCCAGAAGTGCCCAGGGATTCCCTGTGGGAGAGAGGCGGGGCCGTAAAGAACCTTCTGCTCTCGGAAGCGGCCGTCGATGATGCTGCTGCACAGGTCGTCTAGCCGCTTGCGCTCCACGATGTGGTCCAGGACCAGCTCCACGGGGCTCGCTGCCAAGAGGCCGAGAAAGGTTCCCTGGGCTCGAGTCCGGGCTCACACCCCCTGGACACCCACCATCTGCCCATGCCCCTTACCTGGGTCTCCGGGCCTGGTCTCCTGTGCCACCCACACGAAGTCCCCCACGTGCAGCTTGCGCACCGAGTGGCTCACGTGCAGCCGCTGTAGCTCCCGAAGCAGCTCCGGCCTGTGCCCGGCCCTGAGGTTGCGACATGGAGGGCTGAGGTCAGGGCAGACCAGCGCCACCACTTGGATCCTCCCTCACTCTCCACCTCACTTACCCCTTGGCCTCCCCGATGTCCACACACAAGAGCACCCTGTACTCGCCAGGGCCCAGCTCTAGTGCCGGCGGCGGGATGCTCGCTTCACTGGCATTGCTGGGTGGGGAGAAGGTTGGTGCGCGTGAGGCCCGAGTCTTCCGGGCCAGGCTGTTCCCTCCATAACCCTAAGAGGTGGGGCAGCCACGGCTTCGCTGTAGCTGATGGAGATAGGGGTAGGGGTGGGGGTTGGCCTCATGTCCCCATCCCTTGCTCACAGCTCAGCTGAGGTGGCTCCTGGCGCTTCAGGCTCCTCCCCAGGGGGCTCCTCTGGCCTGCTGCCTACATTCAGCAAGCTCAGGCCCTCTGACTCTGCCAGCCTCTGGGCCAGCTCCAGGCCCTCCGGGGTCAGGGAGTACCTGGTGGATGAACACAAATCTCCTTCTTCACTCCCACATGGCACGTTCTCCTGCCTGTTCCCAGCTAGGCTGGCTTCACCACCTGCCTTGGCAATGCTGCGTAAACAAGTCCAGAGGCTCCGGCCCACCCCCTTGCCAGGTTCTTGCCCCAAATGAGGGGAGGGGGTGAGATGTCCAAGACAAGCTCCCGTGTCCTTATCAAAGCCTTTCTTCTGTTCCTTCCCCATCTGTGGCTTCCCTTGTTCCCTCCCAGCCACTCATCTCTTAGAGTCTCCAACAGGCAGCTCCTGGCATGGGCCTCCATTCCCTAGCCCCAGCAGAATGAGGCCTGGGACTGCCAGGTGACTGCAGCGTCCTCTCCCTGCCTTTGGTGCCTCTTGTAGTTGGCCTCACCTGGCTGGCTGATGTGTCCTGAGGACCAGGTTCCTGTGGAGGAGGGAGCGGAGGGCTGGCCAGGGTCGCGCACTCCCAGAGGCCACCTGTGCATGGGGACGAGACCCATAGAGGCTACGTGTTAACAGCCTGTGTCCCAAGCCTGTCCCCAAAAAGTGCGGTCTCAGGGTCAGATCAGAACCACTGGGGTGCGGGCCTCCACCTTTGTGCTCACCTTGGGAGCCTTCTGGGCACATCGCTGCAGCAGTTCCTCCTTGGTTAGGTAGGCATGGCCGCCAGGAGTCTGAAACCAAGGTGGAAGTGACAGCAGGGAGGGCCAGTGCCTGGGCCAGCCCCCCACTGGGCGCCAGCACTCACCAGGTGCTCCCTGTAGAGCAGCAGCAGCAGTGCTCGGGCTCCTGAGTGCCGAGCCGGCCAGTAGCTGCCGGCGCTGCCTCGCCTGGCCTGGGTCGGAACCTAAAAGGTACAGGGGGGCTTTGAACCCAAAGCCAGGCCGCCATTGCACCACAGGTAGAGTCCTTACCCTATGTGGTCACATGGGGATCACACAGAGCTGCCTCTCAGGGTCCTTGTCTAAACACCAGGTGACAAAAAATCTGTAACGCCGGGATGGTGCTTGCAGGGTGGGGACGGTGGTGGGATGGGGGTGCACGAGCTGCTGATTCAGTCTCAGATCTACCCCCCACTGCAGATAAGGTGTAGCCTAAGCAAACTCAGTAAGTACAACCCCCGCTACAGCTTACTGGGCTTGGTCCCCTAAAACGTTTGAACTCTCGACCGACCCTGTAATGAATCCCTACACAGGTGACACAGTACCAAAGGGAGTAAGTCATTTGCCCAAGACCAGCTGTTGCTGGTGGGGAGATGTGGTTGCAGGCCTGCTAAATCCCCTAATCCAAAAAACCGTTCCCGCTGCTCCCAACTTGCTCTTCTACTCCCCTTTGCCCCTCCTCACTGGCACGGGAGGGTCCTGGACTTCGGCAGGTGGTCCTTCTGGGCCTGGACTCTTCGTACCAGACGGTGAACCTGGGACACGGTCACCTGCAGAGAGAGAAGGTCAGCCCCTGGCCGCTAGGAACCCAGCAGGCGCAGGGTCTGCGATGCAGCCCGCTCAGGTGGTAGGTGACAGCTGCGAGGCTCTGGGGCCTGCCACTCAGCCCGAGGGCACCCTGCCACACCCACTGGAGTGAGAAGCCTGAGACCAAGAACTCCCGACGGCTTAGAGGCTGCACCTGGGGGAGGCGCCACGGCCCAGCGACCCCAGCCTCCCGGGGCCGGCGCTCACCGCCTGAGGCTTGGTGCTGCTGCAGGCGCTGGTCCAGCATGCGGCAGAGCCCGTCTCCGAAGTGCTGCAGGATCTTTGCCTCCTTGCCGCTGCGCAGGGGCAGGGGGTACCGCCGCAGGGAGCGCAGGGCCTGGCGGGGGCGGGGGATACCGAGCCAGATGAGGGAGGGTCTGGTCGTCCGGCGGCTCGGCCGGGACGTGCCCGGCGGGCTCGCTCCGCACCCACCTTCTGAAATACGAAGCGCGTGCGCCGCCCCCTGCTGGCCGCCTCGTCCCGCCACTCGGCCAGCCAGCGCGCGAAGAGCGGGTTGGGGCTCGCCGGCAGCGGGCGTTTCCGGCCCAGGCGCGCCGGCGCCGCCATGGGCCGCAGGCCGGGTCCTCGGGCGCCTCACGCCGGCGGGACTGGCCGCCGCCAGCGCTGGAGACGGGGCGCGAACACCTGGCTCGGGCGGGTCCGCTCCCGTCACGTGGGCCCGGCGGGCACCGAGCAGAGCGCGCCCGCCCGCCCCTGCCCCGCTCCGGGGCCGGTGCCGAGCTCGCCCGCGGCCCCGCCCGCCTCCCAGCAGCCGCCCGGGACAGCCCTGACGGCGCCCCACGCTGGCCCGGCGGCCTCGCCCGCCCCTTCCTCCCGCCCGCCGGAGAGCGGGCTCCTCCGTTCAGGGAGGCGCCACAGCGCCCCCCGCGGCTGGGAGGCCGCCCGGGGCGCGCGCTCCCGAGGAGGGACGGTCCAGCCCCGGGGGCTGAAGCGAGGCCGGGCCCGAGGGGCGGGGCGCGTGGGGCTCGCGGCGCGGGGTAACTGCACGCGGGCCCCGGGGGGGCGCAGGGGCCGAGCGCAGCGGTGGAGCGGGAGGAACGGCAGAGCCTCGGAGGAAATGGTGATCCCGAGCGCAGGCAGGGGGCAGCCCGCGAGGTCGGGGGCGCGCAGGGAGGTGGAGGTGGGACGGGGAGGCGGACGGCGGGGGCGGAGCCAGGCGGCGGCGCCGGGCATCCCGGCCGGCGGGCGGGGCCGGAGATGGGCACGACGTGGGCTTCGGGCGCGCAGGCCGGGGCCCAGCAGCCCGTCCGAGGTGGACCGGGAGGCGGCGCGGCCGTTCCTGGGGCTCGGCGGAGGCGCGGAGCCCGGGGAGGTTTAGCGTGACGGTCACGCGGAGGCGGCCCGCGCCGAGGCTCCCAGATCGGGGCGCGAGCCGCCCGCCGCCGCCGCGGAAGCCGGGAGGCGCGGACCCGAGGCCGCTCCCCCCGAGAGGCGGGACGGCGCCCCCGGCCCCCCCGGCGCCAGCCCGCGGCCCCGGCCGCCTGGAGCCGGCTCCCGCCCGCCGCTGCCTTATAAGGCGTCCCCAGCGGGCGCCCGCGCCGGCCCCGCCCCCGCCCGGCTCTTGCCCTAATAAGGACATCTAGGGCGCCCGCGGCCGGCGGCGGGGGCGCGTCTCCAGGCGACCGCGGGGCCCCCCGCCCCTCCGCGTTGCTCTGAGAAACTCGCAGGCTCGAGAAAGGCGGCGGCGCCGCCTCCCTCCTGGCAGGGTCGCCGGCGGAAGGTGGGGGACGAGCGGCGGCCTCCCCCGGGGGTAACCCGGGGGGGGGGGGTTGGCGGGGCGTCCCCGACTACAACCCCCGGCGTGCTCCGCGGGCGTGAAAACCTGGGCTCCGGCGCCCGCTTCGCTCCCTCGGCGCCCTCGGCCCCGCTGACGGCCCGTCTCGCCCGGCGGCGTCCGGCCGCGGCCAACGCTCAGGCCGAGGGCGTCTTCCCGGAGCGCCCGCCCCCGCGTCTCGTAGAAGCCGAGTCCCCGGCGCTGTGTCTCGCCCGTGCAGACGCCGGGCGAGCGGCGGGCTGAGCGTCAGCTCGAGGACGGGACGCGCGTCCAGCCCAGAGCCTTCCCCGTCGGTGCCGGCGGCGGCGAGGAGGAGGCCCGCGCGCGCCTCTTTATTGCCTCGCGCGACTCTGCCCGACATTTGTCAAACAAGCATGAAACTTTCCGAGGCCTCCGCGTCGCTCTTCCTCGCGGTCTCCCCCCAACCTAGTGGATCAGGGCCGCGCTGGGAGCCGCGGACCCTCCCCGTCCCAGGGCTGGGTTCCAGCGGCTCCGATGCAGGAGAACAAAATGCGAGCTCCCTGGAAAACCTCCGGCCCGGGGCTGCAGACAGCGCAGGCGGCCGTTAGGAAAACGGCCTGGCCCCGGGGTACAGCGGCGAGAAGTCGGGGCTCATTCCCGGGTCTGGTCCGCGAGCGCGGGGCGGGGCTCAGCTCGCAGCGTTTCCTGGGGCCCCGGCCAATGGGCGGCCTCCCCGCGCCGAGGCCCCGCCCCGCGCGGACTACACTCCCGGCATGCACCGCGGCCCGGGAGGCCGGCGCCAGCCGACCCCGTTACTCCAGCTAGCGCGAGACGGCGCAGGGCCCGCGGACTCCATCTCCCGTCGGCCCGCGCGGAGGGCGCCGGAAGCCCGCCCCGCCCCTCATTGTGCGGCTCCTACTAAACGGAAGGGGCCGGGAGAGGCCGCGTTCAGTCGGAATCCGGCAGCGGCGGTAGCGGCTCTCGCCTCTTCAGGGTCTCCTCGCGCTCTCCCTTTCGCTTCCGGAAACATGGTGAGCGGGAGGCCGCGGCGCCCGCGGGGAGGCGGCTGCGAGTCGGCCGAGTGCGCGCGGGGGAATGGGGCATCGGCGTCGGCACCCCCGCGCCCCGGGCGGGGTGAGGGTCTCGCGCGGAGGGGCGGGCGGTGCCGGGACGCGCGTGCGCGCCCGCGGGCGTCGGAGAGGCCGCTCGGACGTCGCGCGCGCGCCCCCGGCCAGCCTTCCCCTCCCCCACCCCGCCGCCGCGCCCGCGCCGACACCGGCCGTGGGGGAGGGGTCCGGGGCGCGCGCCCGCCCGCCCCTCGCGAGCCGCCGCGCCGCGCGCCGCTGCGGGGGCCGGAGCCAGTCGGGGCGCGGGCGCGCGCTCGGCGGGAGCACGCGCCGTCCAGCCCCGGCCCGGGGGCGGCGAAGGCGCAGCGCGCGAGCGTTGTAGCGCGCGCCCCACCCAAGGGCTGTTCCCGGCTCCGCGTCATCCTCCCTCGGCGGCCGGGCCGCTCGCGGGAGCAGGTGGCCGGGGGTGCCTGCGCGCGGGGCGGCGGGGTCCGGGCGCGGACGCCCGGGGGGCTCGGGGCTGGCCCCGCGCGCGCGGCCGCCGAATGGCGAGGAGCCCTCGAGCCGCCTGCGTTCCCCCGCGGTGCACCCGGCAGCGGCTGCGACGGCGCCGGCAGCTGGCGCGCGCGCCCGCCCCGGCCTGGCCGCTGGGCCCGAGGCGCTGGGGGAGCGGGGCCCGGCTTTCCCGGATGGGGCCCGCGGGCGGAGCCGAGTTTAGGGAAGTGACCCCGGCCGGCACCGCCCGGAAACCACCCCACCCCCTGTTGGGGCCGGCGGGCTCCGTGGACTGAAGGCCTCGGCCCGCGGGAGAGGGTGATCCCCGGAAGATGCAGCGTTTTTGGGGGGCTGGGCATGGCCCCCCCCAGGGGGCGCTGCCTGTGGGTGCTCGTTCTCTCGGGGAGGGGGCCCGGCCCTGACGATCTCCCCGCCTGCTCCGGAAGCGGCCGGTCACGTGGCCAGCTTCCTCTGCAGTTCCGGGAGGGGGGGCGCGACGGATTTTCGCCGTGGATCAGTCGTGCCCTTTCCTGGCCGGGGTGTCCCCTGACACGGTTCACAGTAGAAGAGTTAAGATTTCTCGAGGACCGCGGGCACTGGTGTTCGGTCGGTTAACTTCCGTCGGCGATCTGCGGGCTTCTGCGTTCCCCGGGAATGTGAGTTGTCAGGGTCCTAATTAGGGGTTGTGCTTCTTGCCCTGGTGGAGGAAGACTCTAGCAGACACGAGGCTAGTTGGTGTGATAACTGCATCGAGCAGCTGTGACGGAATTACTGTAACTGCTGACGCCGTTGGCTGCACCGTGTGGCATTGTGGGGTCCTTGTTCTCAGTTTCTGAAGGAGGGCTTCGACGTGGGTGCCCGGGTTCCCATCTCCCTGCTGTGAAGTTGTGAATCGGCTCTTTAACTCAAAAGTTGAGGTTTAGTACTGTGGGTAGGAAACAAGTCAGTAGCTCTTGGACTCTTGTCAATTCAGGCTTCACACCTCAGAGCTCTGCTGCTCACAGGTCTTCAGCTTCTAGTTGCTTGTATGAAGTGCCAGGGTGTGGGCATGATGGTGGATTGGGTGATGGGATCAGGGTCTTTTCTGTGATTGCCATTGTGGGGCTGTGCCTCATCTGCTCCTTGGACGGTGGTTTGGGTGGGAAGAGTCACCTGTTTTGGGAAGGGGATTTATGATCTTTGGGGACTGGTATTTGTCGGCGTCCAGGTGGATCTCTTAAGAAAGCAAAGGAGAGATTTGAGGGGGACCCAGAAAACTCAAGAGGTGCATGTGGCTCATCCCTAGGCTTCCGGCGTGGCTGTGTCCGATGGCGTCATCAAGGTGTTTAACGACATGAAGGTGCGTAAGTCCTCGACCCCGGAGGAGGTGAAGAAGCGCAAGAAGGCCGTGCTCTTCTGCCTGAGCGAGGACAAGAAGAACATCATCCTGGAGGAGGGCAAGGAAATCCTGGTAGGAGACGTGGGCCAGACTGTGGACGACCCCTACGCCACCTTTGTCAAGATGCTGCCAGACAAGGACTGCCGCTACGCCCTCTATGACGCAACCTACGAGACCAAGGAGAGCAAGAAGGAGGACCTGGTATTCATCTTTTGGTGAGCGTCTTGGAGGGACAAGTGTGACAAGTGCCTGTAGCGAGGGGCCCAGTGAAGGTTTGTGCCGGGCCGGTGAGGGGCTCCTGGCTTCACCTGGGGCCGAGGTAGGTTAGACTTGGGGGTGAGACTTCGTTGCAGCTCCTCTAACTCTGTTTCTCTCTAGGGCCCCCGAGTGTGCACCCCTTAAGAGCAAAATGATCTATGCCAGCTCCAAGGATGCCATCAAGAAGAAGCTGACGGGTAAGGGGCCAGCGTTAGTGCAACTGTGTGCTGCCCTCTGCTCGGGCCTGGGCTTCGGGGTGGGGGGTGGTGTGGCAGAGGGTCCCTCCCCTACTCTTCCCTGCCAGCTGGAGGGTAACCATGTCCATTCCATCTGTTCTGATTGGCGCCTTCCCAGCCACAAACTGTACCGCCCATCCCAGTGCTTCCTGCTCACAGATGCTCCCCTTGCTCCCCACAGGGATCAAGCATGAATTACAAGCAAACTGCTATGAGGAGGTCAAGGACCGCTGCACCCTGGCAGAGAAGCTGGGGGGTAGCGCCGTCATCTCCCTGGAGGGCAAGCCTTTGTGAGCCCCCTCCAGCCCCCTGCTTGGAGCATCTGGCAGCCCCAGACCTGCCCACGGGGTTTGTGGGCTGCCCCCTTCCTGCCAGACCGGAGGGGCTGGGGGGACCCCAGCAGGGGGAGGGCAATCCCTTCACCCAATTGCCAAACAGACCCCCCACCCCCGGACCTCCCTCTCCCTCCATCCCTGACGGATCTGGCCTTCCCAAATCGCTTTTGATCTTCTGATTCCTCTTGGGTTGAAGCAGACCAAGTTTCCCTCCAAGCGTTTCTGTTGAAGGGACCTGTGTTTTTTTTTTTAACGACACCCCAGCCCTCACCTGTTTCTCCCCCTTCCCATGCTGCCAACTTCTAACCGCAATAGTGACTGTGCTTGTCTGTTTAGTTTTGTGTGTAAGTGGATGTTGTGGAGATGACCCCCCCCCCCCACGCCGCCTGGTTCCCCTCCCTGGACAAGTAAGGGACCGTCAATTAAAAAAGAAAAACTCATATGACAATAAAGAGGTTCTCTAATGGGATGTTTGTTTCAGGGTTGGGGCCCAGGGGACCTTGCAGGGCGGGTATGCTGGGAGAAGGAGCATCTCTTCCCCATGCCCTACCTCCAGCCAGCCCCCACATGACCTCGTCTGGCCCCGGTGATTGGCTGACCCTCTTGGCCACTCAGACTTCCTGGGTGGTGCCTCTGTTGGAACCACAGGAGCTGTTCAGGAGGTAGTCGTGCCGGGGTGTGCCTGCTGCTGGCTACAGGGGGCCCTGGGTAGAAGTGCCTTCGTGCTAGAACCACTTCTGTAGCCTCAATCTGGGGGGCAGTTGGGCGGTGAGGGCATTTTCTGATAACTGGCTCAGTCCTGCCCAGATGTGGGCTGTGCAGTTGCAAGTCACAGGTGGCCTTTTGAGTACTTTCTCCACCTAAAAGGTTCTCTGCTCTTCCTGCCTTTCCCTAGATGGTTGGCTGACTCACAAGGGCTGGGTCTAGTGGCTGCTGTGAGTCAGAAGCCAAGTTGGGCCCTCATGGCTGGTGTCCATTTGGGGTGGGGCCAACCAGGTGGAGCACAGGACTTCAGACCCAGCTGTCTTGGGTGCCACCTTCCTGTGTTTAACCAAGAGGGTGTGGGCTGGGGCCTTGAGACTTTGGCCAGCATTGCCCTGGGCTGTCCAGCTTGCACTTTGGGCTTCTACCTACTTGGCAAGTAGAGGTATTCTGGAAACATAGCTCAAGAGCAAGCAAATCGGGGCTGGTAATGCAGGATTTATCATTTGGCCCAACCAGCTGGGCTAAATAAGAGCTCTTTTGGGTTAGATCCAGCGCTTTTGTTCCTTGGAGGGAGCCGGAAGGGGCAGTTCCCTTTTTGGCTACCGGGTGGCTGTACAGGGCTCGTAGACCATGTCAGGGTTTATGGGGGTGACAGGCAAACCCTGAAGACTGCTCCTAGGTTTCAAGCCTGGGCCTTGCGCTAGAGCCTGCTGGCCCTGGAAGATAGCAGGATTGTGCCCCCAGGATCTGGCCTCAGTGTTGTGGCTGAAGGTGTGTTGGTGGGCCCTGGAGATGTGACAAGGGAGGACAGGTAGGCCTTCTGGCTATAAAACCAAGCTCTTTATTTTTGAAGAACAGGCCAGGGACCAATGAAGTCTGGTGCCAGGAAGTGAGTAGAGGCTGTCCCTCAGCGCACCGGGGAGGAAGGGCAGGGTCCCTGGGCTTGCCCCAGGTTGTGGCTCTGCTTACCTGTGGCCAAGTATGGTGCCCATGCTGCCCTGTCTTCTGGCAGGGCCTGGCACCTTTGGGGGCGGGGCTTGCCATTTGGAAGTCATTGGGCATGTCTAGTGGTGGGGAAGGTATCTTGGGGTGGGAGATCTGGGAAACCCTGGTTACTAAAGGTCTTCGCTGCTCTAAGGCTCCCCCTTGAGGGCGATGAGAGTGTTCCGGAGAAGCAGGGTGCTGGCCTGCAGAGGAGAAAGGTCCTTGTCCTCACCTGAGGCTGCTGCTCTTCCCGCACCTCAGGTGCTCTTCCCTCCTGCCCTGCCTCTGTCTTCAGCAACAGCAGCTGCCGTGTGTCTTGCACTTGTCATAATGGTGAGGCCCTGGCTCAAGGTGGGAAAGCTGGCTGGGCGCCATGCTGGGAGACAGCTCAAGCGGGAAGGGGGGAGAGCAGCAAGTGGGCTCACCTTGGCGTGTTTGAGCTCCAGCTCTGCCAACTCAATGAGGTTCTTGCGGAAAGAGGAGACGCGGCGGGACTTGAAGTCCATGAGCTCTGGAGAGGAGCGGGGAGAGGAGTGGGGGCCCCGCAGGGTAGGCAGCCCAGCGGCAGGGCCTCCGGAGCGGCTGGGCTTACCCTGTTTGGCTGAGTCGGAGAGGCGTTCGAAGCGCTGACAGCACAGCTGCTGCTGGCTCTCGGCAGTGCGTACCTCCCGGTTCCTGGCTCGAGCCTTGTCCAAGGCCTTGTTGGCGTTCTCATAGTCGGCCAGCGCCCGAAGCCTCCGGTAAAGCAAGTCCTGGGGCCGCAAGGTGGGACTTTGCATGTGCTGCACCCACCTGCCCTCACGTTGCTCCAGTCCCACTGGCTTCCGGCCCTGAGGTCACAGTGGGGCCACTCACCTTGGCTGCCTGTGAGTCGCGCATGTAGTATCTCAGCATGTCTGACAGCTTCAGGTCCTCATCAGAGGCCACTCGACCCTCCAGCTTCTGAGTCAGAAAAGGTGGAGGTTGGAGAGGGGCCTTAGAGGGACAGCTGAGGGCTGGGGGACTGTTCCCCACCTAAATATCCTGTCTGCTTGACAGCTACTCCAGGCAAGCCCTGATGTTCAGGAAGGGAAGGCTTCACAGAGGAAGTGGTATCTGGTCTCTGGACCTTGGTGTTGAGGTGGGCATTGACAACAGCAGATGCGCAGGCCTATGTTCAGGGAACCACCCACTCATGGGGGCACTTGGATGGCAGCGGCCGGATCACAAGAAGCCCAAGATGTAAGCTAAGGACACAGAGCCCCAAGGGGTAGGGTCACCTGGGCAGGGAAGAGCTATGGTGCGACACTTCAGGGAGGCTGGCAGCCTCCAGTGACTCTTGGAGAAGAGTTCAGGAAGTGTTTGGGGCAGGATGTTGGCAGCCTGGTGCAGCCTGCCAGAGGCACGTGGCACATCCTTAAAAGTGCTTCGCCAGCCGGGTCCCCTCTCCGCCCCCCTTACTGCACACCCACCCAGGCTAGATCCCTGTCTCCACTCCTTGTTAAACTAGTCTGGAAGGTAAGTCCAGAGTCATTAGGCCCAGATTTCGAACAAAAATGACCCTGGAGATTTTCCCTGTTCTGGGACTCTTTCCTGCAAAGGATCATCTCTCCACACAAAGCAGTACTCACCCTTAACCGTTCAAAGAGCTCCGCCAATTTGAGGAAGCTCCTAGGAGGCAATGGCAGGTATTAGGGCAGTGTCTCAGGAGTGCTGAAAGCCTCCCTCTCCCCTCTTCTGAGCCCCAGCTGGAGCTTCCGCACCTCCCACCCAGAGCTGCCAGGGTGACCCCTGGTGGGCAGCCGCAGTATTACAGACATAGGGTAGGAGGGGCAAAAGGGAGGCCTCACATCTTGAGCTGGTTGACTTCCTGTGTTCCCAGGCTGCTCAGTGCAGCTGAGATAGGGATATAGTCATCTGCCAGGCCTGCTGGGGAACAGCCCACCATCAGACCACTGGTCTGCACATCAAGCCCCACCCCAGGTGTTTGTGGCCCAGGAAGGCCATTTCCTGCTCTTTACCCCCACCCAGCAGGACCTCTACAGAGAGGGGGCAGGGAATTCGGGGCCCCTTGGGACCTGCGTACACTTGTGGGAGTGCATGACACGGTCGGCCCGCAGGCAGGCGTCCCGGATGCGGGTGTGGTACTCCAGCAGAAAGGTCCGCTCGTGCTCAAAGAAGTCATCCACCTCCTGAAGGCACCAGACGTGGCCCATTTCAGCTAAGTCACCGGGAGCGTAGCTGCCACGGCCATCCAGGGGCACAGGTCTCCCTCCAGGCCAGTCCCCACCAGCGTCTTCCCTCCCACAGCCACCAAGGCGTCAGTCCTTGCTGTGGGCTGCACCAGAGGGGGGCCCCGTAGGTCACCTTGAGCCCTGACATGCCAGTGATGAGCGCTTCATCTGCAGACTTCACAATGTTCCTCAGAAACCCCCCAAGGAGCTCCTTCCTGTTCTTTCCTCGTACGCTCAGCTGAGGCACATTGGGGGAGAGGGTGTGATGGGGGGGCACTGCACTGCACACCTCCCCCACCCAGGAACAAGTCACTCGGGTCCATTTAGAGCCTGGCACCACCCTCCCCCAGGGGTGACTCTCAGGCTCTGATGCAGCTCACATCTTGGCCATATTCCAAAAAGACAAAGAAGTTGTGGTCCCGATGCAAGGTGGGGTGGGCTGCCAGGCGTTGCAGGAAGACCTCGTGCATGGCGACTGTCTTCTTGAAGATGGCGAGGTACTCCCTGGACAGAGGCAGGCAGGGTGGGCCCTCCTGGGCATGGATACCCAACTCCCTCCCACTGAGGGTCACAGAGGGCATCTCAGACATCCTGGGGGCACAGTCAGGAAGAAATCCTGGGCTGGGGTGGTGGGGGATGGGCCCAGGGCTTTGTGGCAGACTGGGCCAGGAAGCAGCACTCACGCTTCCAGCTCCTGCTTCATTTTGGCAAACTCTTCCCGTGTGATGGAGCTGTCCCCCTCGCCCAGCTTCTGCAGCTTTTCTCTTGAAGCCTCAAAGTCCGGCCTGGGAGGTGCTGGGGGGATCTGCTCAAAGGAGGGACAGAGCTGGCAGCGTCTCCAGGCTGAGAAAGCCACTGCCATGCCCCCCCACACCCTGCAGAAGCTGGGCCAGCCCGCCCCCGCCCCCCAACCACCCCTCACGATGAGGCCCGCGTAGTCCTCGTTCTCCACATAGGCGTCGTGCAGCCAGATGAACTCCTCATGCTGCCGCACCACTGAGAACTCGGTCTGGGCGAAGTGGGGCAGGCAGCTCTGGAAACGGGAAACCTGAGGTCTCCTTCCTCCCCTCCCATCTCCCCCTCCCTTCCCAGGAACCTTCCAGCCCCATATCCCAGGTGAGGCCCAAGTAGGGCCAGGTGGTCATGCTATCAGGTACGACGATGGGTGGTGGGTAGCACTTGGGGCCTGAGGGCAAGGTGGCGGAGCCTGGCAAGGGGCAGGAGCCTGGTGGTGGAATGGGGTCCAAAGGCTCTGGTGATATCTGCCTGCCTCGACCCCTCCCCTATCCAAGAGCAGAGGCTCCCATTACCCCCCTGAGCCTCACCTTGGTTTGCACAGTGAACTTCACCTTATCCCGCTCGCTCACAGCATCAGAGATCTCCACCTGTAAGGAGCTGTCTGCCTGCAGGTCCACCGACAGGGAGGAGGGCTGTGGGGAGGGGAAGCCCTGGTATGTCACCGGGGCCCCCTGGCCCGCCCTGGCCAGGCTGACCTGGCCATCACATAGCGCCCACGGCACTATGTGATGGCTGACCTGGCCATCACATAGCGCCCACGGCAGTAGCAGCGGCCCCACCCCATCCAGGGTCCTGCTAAGTTATTGCCCAGGGTGTTTCAATTCCTGCAGCACTTTTCCACCCTCCCATCCGCTGAAGCTGGATCCTACTAGCTCCCCAGCTTATAAGTGTGGAATTGAGACCATCAGAGGTGAAATCTCTTGTCTAAGGTCACAGAACTGCAAAGTGGCAAGTTGAGATTTGAACCCAGTTCCAAACCCCATGCACATTCTCAGCTACCTGCCCACCTGTCCCCAGATGTGACCTCAAGAACCTTTCACCAGGGCACAGTGAACTGGATGAGTTCCCACCTCCCTTTTCTGAGCACTCCTGAGCCATTTCCATTACTTTTAGTGCCAAGAAGCAGCGGCTTATAGGCAAAGCACAAGTGTTTCTCCAAGTGAAGAGGCCTGTGAGGCAAGAAGCTACTAGTTCCAACAAGCATTTACTGAACACCTACTATGTCCATGCCATTGTGCCAAGTGATACTAAGCAGAGGAAAGGCTTAGCTGCCACCCTACCTACAAGTATTGCTCACTATACACAAGCTGGCACTGCCCCAGCGCTCACACCCATACAGCTCATTCTCTTCCAGTCTCTGGCACACGGTGGGAACCAGTGTGACCTCTAGCACCATAGATTAACTTTACTGGTCCTGAACTTCATCTATATTGCCATTATAGAGTTTATGCTCTCGTGTCCACACTCTTTATTGAGAACCGGCAATGTTGCTGAGCGGGGCTGTGGTCCTTTTGCAGGGCTGGGTAGCATTCCATCACATGAATGTGTCCTAGTGTGCGTATCCACTCCTCTGTTGGTGGTGATTTGCATTATTTCAAGTTCGAGACTTCGGGATAAAGTTGCCATGAATATACCTGCATAAGCTTTTGGAGGTCCTATGCATTTATAGATCCTTTGAACTTCCATGTACATGTACATTTTAGAAACAATTTGTTAATTTCCACCACAAAAACCTTGGGGCATGTTGACTGAGACTGCACTGAATATGTAGATCAATTTGAGAGGGATAACCCTTTCTGCAATATTTAATCTCCCAATCCATGAACATGGAATATGTTTGAATTATTTATGTTGTCTTAATTTTTCTCAGTAATGTTTTATAGTTTCCTCTGTAGAGAGGAAACATCTCTTTGTTAGGTTTTTTTCTTAGGTATCTGGTGATATTTTGTTGTTGTTATTTTAAATATATTTTTAAAAGATTTCACTTATTGGGCCTCCCCGGTGGCGCAGCGGTTGAGTGCTGGGTTGCGAAGCTGCCTGCAGCCTCTGCAGCGCCGGTTCGATCCCCGGCTGCTCCCCGGTCACCGAAGGAGGGTCCCACATGGCGCGCAGACCTCTCCTGCTGCCCGCTGCTCCCCTCAGCAGTGTCCTTCAGTCCTTCTGCCTGCTCTGCTCCCCGCTCTGGCTCTGGTGAATTCTCTCACCCTCCCCGCGCTTCTGACTGTACCCAGTGCTTGTATAAATAAATGAATAAATCAAAAAAAAAAAAAAAGATTTTACTTATTTATGCATGCAAGAACTGGGGTACAGGGCAGAGGTGCGGGGGGGAGAGGATTCACCAGAGACAGAGTGGGGAACAGAACAGGCAGATTGACCAAAATACACTGCTGAGGGGAGCAGCAGGCGAGTCAGAACAGGTCTTCTGCACCATGTGGGTAGCTCCCTGGCCGGGGCTCGAACTCATGCTGCAGTGGCTGTGGATAGCTTCATAGGTTGAATCTTAACCCCTTGTGCCACCAGGGAGGCCGTATTTTAAATATTTTTAATGGTTTGTTGTTAGTATATGAACACATACTATTGATTTTTATATACTTACTCTGCGTCCATGAACCTTGCTAAGTGTACTTACTCTTTTTAAGAGTTTGTAGATTCTTTTGGATTCCTACAGAGGTAATCCTATAATCTAAACTACTGACAGCATTAGTCTCTTTCTTTCCAACCTTTTTACCTTTCACTTCTTTTTCTTGCCTTATTGCAATTGCTAGCGTGCTAAGTCCTCTACTACAATGCAGAATTAGTGATATGGTGATAATGGGAATCCCTGACCTCAGGTAGATGCATTGCATTAAAAACATAGTCCTGAAAATGTTTTTAGATACTCTATCAAATTTAAGTTCCCTTCTATGCTTAATTTGATGAGAGAATGTTGATTTTTTATCAAAATTTTCTCCCTTTATTGAGATATCATGTAAATTGTTTTGTTACTCTGCATATGTGCTAATTTCATTAACTGATTTTCAAACGTCACATCACCTTGCATTCCTGGAAGAGGATCTTTGTTTTTTTTTTGTTTGTTTATTTATTTATTTATTTATACGTACAAGAACTGTACAGGTACAGGTCAGAGGTGGGGGCACGGTGAGAGGATTCACCATAGACAGAATGGGGAGCAAAACAGGCAGATTGACAGAAATACACTGCTGAGGGGAGCAGTGGGCAAGACAGGAGAGGTCTGCTGCGCCATGTGGGTAGCTCCCTGGCCAGGGATCGAACTAATAACTGCAGTGGCTATGGACAGCTTCATAGTGCTGCGACTTAACCCCTTGTGCCACCAGGGAGGCCCAGAAGAGGATCTTTGTCATGAAGTATTACCTTTTAATATACAGCTTATGCAAGTTGGTAATATTTTGTTTCCGACTTCTGCACTGTTTTCACAAGAGATATTCGCCTGCATTTTCCATTTTCCCTTTCTTGTAATGATCTTGACAGGTTTATTGTGAGTGGGGGGGGGTGTTAAAATATACATAACATAAAAGTTACCATTCTAGGGCTTCCCTGGTGGCACAGGAATTCAGTCTCAGTACTATCAAGCTATTGCCAGCCACTGACAACTGAGTTTGATCCCTGGCCAGCGAGCTGACCCACATGGCGCAGCAGACCCCTCCTGTCTTGCCTGCTGCTCCCTTTAGCAGTGTATTTCAGTAGATCCACCCATTATGCTCCCCACTCTGTCTCTGGTGAATCCTCTCAACCCCTCTCCCCCCAGACCTCTGGCCTATACCAGTTCTTGTATGCATAAAGAAATTTTAAAAATCTTGGGAAAAAAAAAGTTATCATTCTAACCATTTTCAAGTTCAGGGGTAGTAAGTATATACACAGTGTTGTGCAACCATCACCACTGTCCATCCTCTTGCCAAGTTTTTGTATCAAGGTTCTGCTGTCTTAAACAAGGAGCGGTGGCCCCTATTTCTGCCTTTGGAATAACTTACATAACAACAGTGCTAGTTCTCCTTTAATGCTAGAATAACTCACATGTGACATTATCTGTGCGAAGAGATATATTTTTAAAAAGTTGAAAATTACAAATTTAGTTCCTATGATAGGAATAGAACTGACTACTCAGGTTTTCTACTTGTTTCAAGTTTGGTAAAAGTTGCACTTTTCAAGATATTTGAAATTTCGTGAAATTTTTCAAGTTATTGACATTAACTTGTTCTTAAATAGTTCACACTCTTTCTAATGTCCGAAACATCTCTAAGCATTGTCCCCTTTATCATCCCTGATGTTGACAGTGAATATCTTCTCCCTTTCTCCTAATCTCCCTCCTGCTTTTTTTTCCTTTCTCTCTTTTATCGGCCTTGCTAAACTGATAACCAGGTTTTACTAGTGTTTTCAAAAAACTATTTTTCACAGTTTTGCTTTTCTCCATTTGTATATTTTTTCTAATTGATTTCTACTCAATATTTTGAAATCTAGTTACTTTTTTGTTTTGATTCCTACTTAATTATATTGGATCAAAGATCACATTCTATATGATTTCAATCTTTAAAAATATGATTCTTGCTTTATATATAGCTCAACATATGATGTGTTTTAGTAAATGTTTCATGTGCACTTGAATGTTTTTCTAGTTGCTGGGTATAGATTAAGTTGCTTAATCATGTTTTTGTAAATCTTCTAAATTCTTACTGATTTTTTTGGTCTGCTTTGAGAGAGCAGCATTTATTGAGAGAGTTGTGTTACCCCTCTAAACTATAACTGTGGATTTTTCTCCTTTTCTGTCATCTTTTTCTTCGATGTTTTGAAACTGTATTATGAGGTACATATAAATTTAGGACTGTTTTATCCTCTTGTTGAGTTGACTGTGAAATCATTAGTAAATGTTCTGCTATTTCTAGTAATTCTTTGATTTACATTTCTACTTTGTCTGAATTCATATAGCCACACCAATTCTCTTTTGGTTAGTGTATTGATGAGATATCTATACCTATATCTATCTCCATATATCCATTTCTTTTTTTAAAAAAGATTTACTTTTATTTATGCATACAAGAACTGGGGTGTAGGTCAGAGGTGCAGGGGGTGAGAGGATTTCCTAGAGACAGAGTAGGGAGCAAAACAGGTGGATCTACTGAAATACACTGTTGAGGGGAGCAGCAGGTGAGACAGGGGAGGTCTGCTGTGCCATGTGGGTCAGCTGCCTGCCAGGGATGGAACTCATGCCGCAGTGGCTAGTGATAGCTTGATAGCTGGTACTTAACTCCTGCACCACCAGGGAGGCCCTATATCTCCATTCTTTTTATTTTTTAAAAAAGATTTATTTATTTATTTATTTATACAAGCACTGGGTACAGTCAGAAGCATGGGAGGGCGAGAGAATTCACCAGAGCCAGAGCGGGAAATAGAACAGGCAGAGTGATGAAATACACTGCTGAGGGGAGCAACGGGCACGGCAGGAGAGGTCTGTCGTGCCATGTGGGACCCTCACTGGTTAGCCGGGGATGGAACTGGCGCTGCAGAGCCTGCCGGCAGCTTCGCAGCCCACTGCTCAACTGCTGTGCCATCAGGGGAGGCCCACCTATATCTCCATTCTTACAGAAAAAACTTTCTGTGTCCTTGTACTTAAAGTATGTCTCTTAACAGAATATAGTTCTCTATTAAATATCCAAGCTGCAAATGTTTGTTTTGTAATTAGAGTGTTTAGTCCATAATTATTGTAATTAATGTAGTAGACTATAAACCTGCCATCTTGCTCTGTTTTCTCTGCCCCAGCTGTTTTTTATTCCTTTATTCTTTCTTCCCTGCCTTCCATTAATTAGTCAAGTATTTTATATGATTTTTTTCATTTCTCCTCTATTATATTTTTACTCACATATCCATTTATTATTCTTTTCATCTCCCTATATTTAAGGGAAAATCTTAGAGAAAGCAATACTTCATCTACAAGATAAGTTCTAACTATAAACTTTCGAAGTCTGGCATCTATAAAGGCTGGGGGTGTACCCATCAGGTTGACAGCCTAGTCCCAGTCCATGCCCACAAAACACAGCCTCCCACACAGTAACCGTACTAATAACAATAATAGCTACCGCATATATTTGCTGTTACAATATGCCAGGCACTGCTCTAAGCATGCATATATATATATATATTCTTTTTTTTTTTAATAGAGGCATGTTTTATTTATTTATTCATTTGTTTGTTTTTGTTTATACATGCACTGGGTACAGTCAGAAGCGCGGGAGGGTGAGAGAATTCACCAGAGCCAGAGCGGGGAGCAGAGCAGGCAGAAGGACCGAAGGACACTGCTGAGGGGAGCAGCGGGCGGCAGGAGAGGTCTGCGCGCCATGTGGGACCCTCCTCCGGTGGCTGGGGAGCAGCCGGGGATCGAACCGGCGCTGCAGAGGCTGCTGGCAGCTTCGCAACCCAGCGCTCAACCGCTGCGCCACCGGGGAGGCCCATATATATATATATATTCTTCAAATAAATTTTTTAAAGACTTATTTTATTTACTTATGCATACAAGAACTAGGGTATAGGCCAGAAGTGTGGGGATGGGGGTGGTGAGAGGATTCACCAGAGACAGAGTGGGGAGCAGAATAGGCAGATCTATTGAAATCTACTGCTCCCTGGCAGGAGCTGATGGAACTCAGGCTGAAGTGGCTGGCAATAGCTTGATAGTACTGAGACTTTAACCCCTGCACCACCAAGGAGGCCCCCCTTCTTAATTTAATTAACCATGAGTATGAACACGGATAAACACTGAAACATATCTCTTTCTTCTATTTCTTGTGTCTCTCAGCCCCTCTCATATTTCTAAACTCTACTTGAACCCTACTCCTGATACCTTGGCTTTTCTGATACTCCTAGGGCAGGTTCTTCCTGTGCCCAACTGCTCCCCACAAAAATCCCTGGTGGTGCAAGGGGTTAAGCACCACACTATGAAGCAATCCGCAGACTCTGTAGCTTGAGTTTGATCCCTGGCCGGGAGCTACCCACATGGCGCAGCAGACCTCTCCTGACTCGCCTGCTGCTCCCCTCAGCAGTGTACTTGGGTCAGTCGGCCTGTTGTGTTCATTGCTTTGTCTCTGGTGAATCCTCTCACCCCCCACACCTCTGGCCTGTACCCCAGCTCTTGTATGCGTAAATGAATAAAATCTTTTTTAAAAAAATCACATTCTGACTCATTGGCGCAGTAGGGCCCCTTTTCCCCATGTCCTTCCTGCTGCCTCAGTATGTCTGCTCTGACCTGCAGCGCTGGTAACTGAGGGAGATGGACACATCTTAATTCTGTCACAGCCCACCACGTACATACCACAACCCCCAAAAGTGTGTGCCTCTGAGTGGCCAGTCTGGCACAAGAATGCTCAATAACCATTCACTGAATGAAGTCAAGAGCAAACAACGAGGCGTGAATGGCCTCAGGATTACAAGAAAGCAGATACACAAGCCAAGCCAGTAACGCCAAGCAAGACCTCCCCCCTTGAGAAAGGAGACTGCAGGCTTCTCCATCGCCAGCACCCCTCCTTCCTTTTCTCCCCATCGCGCCAGCATGGGCCTGGGCTGGGCAGCGGGAACGGCAGTGAGCGGTCCCTTTTCATCGCGCAGGGCAACGGGAAACCCTGTCTCCTCTGGCGTCCTCACCGGTGCCCCTGCAGGTGCCACAGAGGCGCCCCACCCCCTTGCCGGGTCTTTCCTCTCTAGCGAGCACTCTCTCTCTCTCTCTCTCCCCCCCCCCCCGCCCCCGCCTCGACTGGGCATGACTGGGCATCGGGCGTGAGGTGGAGGCCGGGAGGGCTGCATCCTTTCCCTACCTTGCTGTCCTTCCCTGCCTCCGGTGGCTGCTCCATCACTGCCCTTTGCGGCCGCAGCGCCCCGGGGTTCGGCGGCTGCCCCCGCGGCGCGCTCCCGCAGCCTGGTCCGGGCGCGCCCTCGCCGAGGCCGGGCCCCGCGGACGCTCGCCCCGCCGCGCGAGGAGTCGCCGGGGCGGGCGGGGCGGGCGGGACTCCCCGCCCTCCCCGCAGCCGCGCCTTTTGATTGGATGCCAGGCTCGCCGCGCGCGACGCCATTGGTCGCTACGCCTGTCGTTCCCGACCCAGGCCCCAGCTTTTAAGGCGCCGCGCGGCCCTGAGCGGGTGTGGTACTGGCGACCGGGGGGGTGAGGGGAGGGGTGAGGGGAGGGAGGGGTGAGGGGAGGGGTGAGGGGAGGGGTGAGGACAGGGGCTCCGGGGCCCCTGCGGTCTCCGGCCACCCCGGCCCCGACCACACCCCCAGGCCGGGGCTGCCCGCCGCGCGCCCCCAACGGCCTCGCGCGGTCTGCGCGTGCGCGTAGCGCGGCCTCGGGCGGCGGGCGGCGGGCGGGGGGCGGCGGGGGGCGGCGGGCGGGCGACATGGGGAGCCGGGGAGGGGAAGGGGGCTGAGGGCGGGTGACGCTTCTGGGGAAGGGGCTGCCGTTGGGATTTTCGCGCTGGGCTATGAAGAGGCGGCGGGGGAGGCCGCGCAAGGCGTCGAGGGGCCGCCACGAGACCGGCCGCCGCAAACCCCGAGGCCAGTCCCCGGACCGCGGGCCGTCGCGGCCGTCGCCGGGCCGCACAGGGCCGCCTGAGGTGTTTGAGAAGCTGTGGGTGCCCTGGAATGGGCTCGTCGTGGTCGGAAAGAGAATGGAGCTCCTGGGTAGAAACACGCAGAAGCCGAAGCTGGAGGCTGACGACTGGAGGCTGGAGGGCGTGGAAAGGACGGCCTCGAGAGACCAGCCAGGCCTGACCCAGGAGAGGCAGGATTTGACGCCCGTGCGCCGCGTCTCCAGTGCCCTGCAGGCCCGCGCGGGCCTGGGGAGGGACAGTTCACAGGGGAAGGGGGAAACGCCAGAGGTCAAACACAGAACTGGGGCAGAATCCGAGAGCGCAGGGACGTTAGCAGGGCCTAGGAAGGGCCACAAGGCCAAGGAGAGGTTGAAGTTTGTTGAGGCGGTGGAATTCCGTGGAGAGGACTTGAGAGCGTCAGTATTTACAATAAAGCAGGAGGGGGAGATGCTGAGGCCAAATGGGAAGAAGCTGAGTTTGAGTGGAGAGAGTTTGAGGTTGAGTGGAGAGAAGCTGAGTTTAGGTGAAGACAAGCTGAGGTTGAGTGGAGAGAAGCTGAGGTTGAGTGGAGAGAACCTGGGGTTGAGTGGAGAGAAGCTGAGTTTAGGTGAAGACAAGCTGAGGTTGAGTGGAGAGAAGCTGAGTTTAGGTGAAGACAAGCTGAGGTTGAGTGGAGAGAAGCTGAGGTTGAGTGGAGAGAAGCTGAGGTTGAGCGGAGAGAAGCTGAGGTTGAGCAGAGAGAAGCTGGTGTCCAGCCGGGAGAACCCGCCTACCAGTGGAGAGATGGTGACAGCCGGTGTAGAGACACAGGAGTCGGGTGGAGAGAGGCAGTTGTCATTGGGAAGAGAGAGGCGGGAGTCCTGGGAAGAGAGGCGGGGGTCTAAGGGGATTAGGAGAGAGAGACAGGGGTCCTTGGCAGAAAAGGTGCTGTTTAAGGGAGACAGGCGAGGATCCAAGGGAGGGAAGTTGGGGCTTAGGGGAGAGAAGCAGACGGCCACGGAGGAGAAGAGAGGCAGCAGTGACGAGAGGGGGCGCTTAAGAATGGGGAGCATAGATGAGGAGCAGGTGGAAAGAGTGGTAGAATTTACCAGTGATGGAAAGTTCGTAGCTGCTGACGATACGGAGACGGAAATTCTGGCTGACAGGACTGAGGAGAAGGATGAACCTGGGGGGATGGCAGATGCAGTGAAAGCTGAGGAGGTGGCGGAAGTTAAGGAAGAGGTGGAAGCCTAGGAGGAGGGCTGGAAGCTGAGGAGGGCGTCTTGCCTGGAGGGAAAGACGCTCCGGGTGAATCTGCCTCTGTGGAAGAGAGAGAGGCTACAGATGAAGAGCCTGGTGATTGACGCAGATAAAGGATTAAAGCTAAAGAAGGGAAGAGAAGCAGGTGGGGTGGTATTGCAGGTCCAAGAGGAGAAATCAGAGCCAAACAGAACATTATTGATCCTGAAGGGGCAAAGAGAGCAAAGGCGAGCCTGTGTGCCAGAGAAGTAGGGGTGGGCGTGGAGACCCACGAGGGATAAAAGTGGACCAAGGAAGTGAAGAGAGTGACGGAGAGTGCCGCGGGACCCCTGGAGGAGGAAGGAAAGATTGGATAATGTGTACCAGGCAGAGGAAAACTGGGTACCGGTTACTTGGGGAAGAGCCGTGACTGAGGCCCCTGTGGGGAAAAGTGTGAGGCGTGGCTTTAGCGTGCGCTGGGAGCCTCGGGTCTGACGGTGACTGAGTGTGTGAGCCGGGGGAGGATGCAGTGAGAAAGAGGGAAAGTCACAGCAAGATAAAGGAGCGACAATACGGGCTGGGGGCGGACCTGCAGGCCGAGGCCAGCGAAGGAGACCCTGGAGAAGAACGGGGCACTCAACGCGGAAAAGCCAGAAAACGGGAAGAAAAAAGTAAGACGCCAAATCCCGTAGTGGGACCATCGCTTGTTGGGTGTTTACGCTTCTGCGCCGTCTCCATGTCCTCCTCCCCCACGCAGCCAGTGTCACGACTTAACCCGACAGGCTTCTCTGAGGGCTCTGTGCCTCTGCACCAGGGGCCAGCCTGTTGGTCTTGCTTCTGACTAACCCCCCAATTGTATCCAGAGTAGCTGCTGGCCTCCACTATTGAATGACTTTACCATCACCACCATTTCCCCCACGCCCTTCACACCCGCAGCAAACTTGAATTGCTTCTAATTGATTTGAAGGTATGATGATTTGCATTATTGTTTCCATCTGTTACTTATTCATGTAACCACGTGGACTTTTTCTTTTTCCAAAGATTTATTTATTTATGCATACAAGAGCTGGGGTACAGGCCAGAGGTGCAGGGGGTGAGAGGATTCACCAGAGCCAGAGCGGGGAGCAGAACAGGCAGACTGACTGAAGTACACTGCTGAGGGGAGCAGTGGGGGAGTCAGGAGAGGTCTGCTGCGCCATGCAGATTGCTCCCTGGCCGGCCGGGGAATTGAACTCGTGCTGCAGTGGCTGCAGAGAGCTTCATAGGTTGCGTCTTAACCCCTTGCGCCACCAAGGAGGCCCACATGAACTTTTTCATCACTTCTTTTGTGTCTGTCTCCATTGAAGACGTCTTTTATGTCTTCCACATCCCACCTACTGTCCACCCTCATCCCAGGGAAGAGAGAAGGACCCCCCTGAATGCTTCCTGTTAATACATCGATGTCAAGACTTAGGCTCTTACATCCTGTTTGCCAGTGGTCATGGATGTGAGAGGTGGCAACAAGCAGTTATGGGTAGTTAGGACAAAAGGAACACCAGCCCCCACCCCGCTTCACCTTTTTTTTTTTCTTTTTTAAATATTTGTTTATTTAAGCACTGGGTACAGTCAGAAGCGCGGGAGGGTGAGAGAATTCACCAGAGTCAGAGCTGGGAACAGAACAGGCAGAAGGACTGAAGTACACTGCTGAGGGGAGCAGCTGGTGGCAGGAGAGGTCTGCGCACCATGTGGGACCCTACCGGCGCTGCAGGGGCTGCGGGAGGCAGCCTAGTGCTCAACTGCTGCGCCACTAGGGGAGGCCCCCGCTTCACCTTTTTCTTTTAAAATGTATGTAAAATTTCTAGGGAGTAGAAACTTCATCATAGCATAGACTAACACTAGTATCATAACACAAATTTATAGTAGCCTGGATTTTCAAATGAAGTTTTCTCCATACCCTTTGCTAAATACCCCCAAAGATCCAAAGGATCAGTAAACCACTTGGCCTGCTTCTGTTCATATGCCAGACCTAACATAGCAATCCCAGTCCCTCCTGCCATTTTCTTTCTTGGAGTTTGTCATCCTCTGGGGCTGAAGGAGAGGGGCTGTGTCCTAGGCTGCTTCCCTGGGCAGTGAGCCGCCCTGGGTTGGGTCTCCTACTACCTGCATCTTAGGTAGTCTCCTCTTTCTGTTTTACAGCTTCATTTAGGTCAAACACCAAACATCATCTAATGACTTCTAGAGAAAGTAATCATGGAGGCCAACTTTGTGACACCTCATCTGTCTGAAAGCAGATTTTCCTCTCATATTTGATTGCTGGTTTCCCTGGCAATGGAACGGTAGGTTGGGAGTAGTATCCCCTTAGACTGTTAAAGGCATTGCCCACTATCTGCTCACTTCCAAGTGTTGCTGTTTCGTTGAGTCCAGTGTTGTTCTTTTATTTTTCATCCTATGGATATATGACCCACTTTTCTTCTCAATGTAAATTACCTGTTTTCTACCACCCCAGTGCTCAGCCTACACCCTCATCCTTGTTCTCAAAAGAATAGCCCAAATTTCTATCTGGAGGACACTCTACTGCTTTCTTTGAGAACATTCCTGTGTGAAAGCAGTAACACAATGAACAAATAAATTGTACCCCTTGTTGTGCTCCTACATTTTACATCAAACTGCACCAAATCATTTCTAGAAACATGCTGTAATTTCTCTCTTCTTAAAGAAGAAAGCCTCTCTTACCCACACACATTGCCTTGCTCCTCATGGCAGGCACAAAAACAGCCCCCCAAAGATCTAGTCACGTCTTAGTATATGTGCTGCCGAAGCGAGCACTCTGTTCACGGCTTAAGCCCAGAATCGGTGACTATTACCTCCTAGGACAGAAGAGCAGATACTGGTAAAGCAAAAGGTGCAATTCAGGTAAAGGTTTTGAGAGGGGGCCTTCTTCTGGATAATCTGGGTAGCTGCAAGTGCCACCACAAGTGTCCTCACAGACCACAGGGGAGATCAGGCTCACAAGGCAGAGGCAGCGGGTCAGCCACACGCCAGCAGCCCAGCAGTGTGCGCTGCAGGGCCAGAAGGGGCGGAGAATGAATTCTTCCCTAGAGCCTCTGTGGGGACAGTGGCCTCAGCCACTGCTGTGATGTTGTACTTCTGCCCCCAGAACTGTTGTTTCAGGCCACCCAGTTAGTGGTCATTTGTCACGGCAGCCACAGGACTCAACTACATTCTCGGAAAGTAGAAATTCTCCAAAAAGTTGTCTGCCTTGCTGTCTCTAAATCTCCTTTTCATCTGCCTTTTTGTAGCACACATTTTAATCTGTACAGAACAACGAAAAGATTAGAGCAACTAAATATTCTCTACTTAGATTCAACAGTTCAAGAGCAGCTTGCCCTATTTGCTGTGTCTCTGTTTACTTCACATGACTTCTATGAATAATCACTTCCTCCTGTGGATCCTTAGGCATCCACAATGCCTAAGTGAATTTAAAATGTTTTAATTTAATAAATTTAAAAGAATAATTCCTTAATATCACCTAGCATCCAATATATATTTGCATATCCATAGGATGCAAAATATTCAAATCTCCTTCCTCACCCCCGAGTATATTTTGTAAATTTTTCCCCAGCCCAGGCGCCTTCAAATCAGGGCTCATGTCTATACTGAACGTGATTTTTAATTCTTTTTCATCTATGTTGGCCTCCTCATTTGGCTTTTTAGCAACTTTGACTTTTTGAAGACTTCAGGCCTGTTTTCTCGGGGATTCCCACAGCCGCCTTTCTCTGCGTCCCAAAGTGGCCGTTTCATGTCTGTGGCCTGGGAGTTGGGGCTGTGGGCCCTCAGCTGTTTTTATGCAGCCCTTGTCACCCCCTGACTTGTTTTTGTTCTGTGGTTTTTCACGCTCCCTCTCTCTTTCCGTCCCTGCTGTACCGTCAGCTCCGTGAGGGAATCTGTGTCTGCATTATCTGGCCTCAGCCAGAGGCCAGCCAGCCGGAGGAGGCGCAAGTGTATCTGGGCGGTGAGTCAGTCCGCCACATTGGTGACTTAACCTGTCTCGTTGCCTTTTTTTTTTTTAAAAGATTTATTTATGTATGCATACAAGAGCTGGGGTACAAGCCAGAGATGCGGGGGGTGAGAGGATTTACCAGAGCCAGAGCAGGGAACAGAACAGGCAGACTGACTGAAATACATTGCTGTGGGGAGCAGCGGGTGAGACAGGAGAGGTCTGCCGTGCTATGTGGGTTGCTCCCTGGCCAGCTGGGGATCGAACTCGTGTTGCAGAGGCTGCAGATTGCTTCATAGTGCAGTGCTTAACCCCTTGCACCACCAGGGAGGCCCTGTCTCGGTGACTTTTAACGTCTGTGAAGAAGTCTCTACGAGAAGGGACCCTGTTCCTTATCTCACGGGTTTGAAGCCCTCAAGCGCGCCTGGCACTGCCTTTTCACCTGCTGGAAGATTGCTTAGCCCTAACTTCCCTGTAGCTCTGAGGGTGTTCTTTCCCCGTCCAGCCTGGCCACGTAAGAGTCTAGATCTAGTCCATGTCTGAGCCATTCTTTGCGGCCTGGTGTGCATGCAGACTGTCTCCTAAGCCTCTTCCTGTTCTCCCTGCTGGTCGGTCAGAGTTGCAGGTACCACAGCGCTGGGACTCTCCTGCGGCAGGCACTCGCTGACACTGATGTCTGTCTCATCAGAGCAACTTCGCAGGTGCCTTCTGCGTTCACCACCACTTCTTCCCACTGCTCTTTGAGAAGGAAACATGACTCTCAACTCTGCTGTCTGGGAGCTGCCCGGGCTGGGCCCTGAGCTGCACTGCAAAGCTCTCTGCTGAATCACCTCCCTGTTTTTATTCAACAATCACCCCCCATCCCCCTCTCCCTTACCTCCCACCCTATTTCCTAGCCTCTTGCCTGGGGGCCACGAATGATGTACAAGACAACCCTCATTCCCTGGGGGGAGACCTTGAATGATGCTGCAGTGGCAAGTTCCTAAAAACACAAATGCTACAAAGGTGCGTGTTTATGTTCTTTCCCAGGTCTGTCTTCCCGACATCGTCCACTCCTGGCCTCGCTGCTGACTCAGTACTGAGCAGGCCCGAGATCAAGACCAGGAGTGCTGGGGCCGGCCCGGGGCACACTGCAGGGCGTGCCAACAACAAGCTGCGCCATCGGATTCGTTCTGTGCCCAGATCGCGTTTTCTCCCAGGATCAGATCAGCAGGTGCGTTCCACTGAGGCCGCAGGAAAGGTGGCAACCAGACATCGAGACAAGTGCAGATATATCCAGTAAGTGCAGATATATCCAGTCAGCTGGGGCCCTAGAACTTTCTATATGTATAAAACCAAAATGCTCACAGGGAATTGAGGGCCCCTGAGTGGTTTCATTTATTTTTGTTATTCTGTTCTTTCTTGGCATGTTCTCAGTGGTCCCTGTTTCTTATAACAGGATGTGTTAGAAGCGCCATCGCCATTGATGTTTTAAAATTGTATTATGGAGACCACATTGGTTTACAATGCTGTGTGTGTTTTGGGGTTAGGATCACACCTGTACTAATGAGTGTTTCTACCGCATGCCCACCACCACTGTCCCACAGTCCACTGGGATCCCCCCTTGCTCCCCCGCTTCTCTCGCGCTCTGGTGGCCTCAGTTCTGTAGTGGATTGCAAAGGTTGTGACATTATTTTTTTACTTTTGTTCAAATGTCCTAATGGTTGGTTCCATTCATTCATTCAGCAAACACTGCACACGCACTGCGTCCTGGGTGGGATGCAAGCAGTGTGTAGGACCACGTTTAGGCCCCCGGTAGCCCGTTGAGACAGATGCCACAGTGCGCAGTGAGATGGGCTGGGGGGGAGCCCCAGGGGAGGAGGCAGTGGCAGTGGGGGCTGTTCACAGGGTGGTCGGGGAAGTGTCTCCATAGCGATGACCCACTAGGGCTGGGCCTGGAAGGGTGTGAGGCCCTTGACACTGGGGAGAAGAGCACAGATGTTCTATTTCTTTTGTTAATTAATTTTTTAATTTTCTTACTTTGTTGTGCATTTTTGTACAATATTTGCTCTCTCCCCTCAGGTGTAGTCCCATGAGTCTCCCACCACCATGGCACCATGACTGTCACCACAGTCCCCTGTGCTCTTCCCTCCGATTTGACCCCTCCCCTGCTGCAATCTAGGGTTTCTCTGCAAGTTTTGTCTTTTTCCTGATCGTTGGTTTGGTTTCCCTGTAGTCCCCCCCATTAAGGGGGATTTTTCTTTTTCCTTCTGACTTATTTCACTTAGCATAATCCCTTCCAGCTCCATCCATGTTGCCGCAAATGACGCGCGTTTGTTTTTTTTGATCGCTGAGTAGTATTCCATTGTCACAGGGGTTCTCAGCAGAAAGAATGGAGTTGCCTTGGTGGGCTGGCTGGGTGTGTTCCCGCAAAGGCAGGTGCTGTGGATGGGGGCAAGGAGGGTGCTACAGCGACAGCTAGAGGGGAGCTGGGGAGAGCTGACCCCCACCTGGAGCAGTCAGCGGGTGGTCAGAGCAGGAGCTGAGCTGGGGGGTGACCAGAGGATGAGGCAGGAAGGAGGCAGAGAGAGTGGGGATGAAGGCAGGAGGAGAGTGTGGAGAGGTTTTGACAGGCTTGGCTGGTTCACAGTGTATGGATCGTGAGGAGGGAGCCTGAGCTTGAGACTGCGGTAGCTGACACTGCCAGCAAATTCACACGCAGTCTCGCTGGATTCATCCTACCCTACAAGAGGGGTTGTGTGATTATTGGCATTTTATTTATTTTAAGTTTATTTATAATTTTTTTTATTTTTTACATCATTGCTCATTTTCAAACAATATTTGTGTCCCCCCACCCCTGATTATTGGGATTTTGTAGATGAGGCAGTTGGGGCATGGAGTTGTCAATCAAATTGACAAGTCAGGTGTGAGGTGGTAAGTGGTGGGGTTAGGATCTGAACCCAAGAGAGTCGGCACCCTCAGCTGCTACCAAGTAGCATTGGCGGTGAGCAGACACCAGTGCCATGACTGAGGGGTGATCTGGCCAGCCAGGAAGCGGTGCCGGAGCGCATGTTCTGCTCACCTACCACCCCCCACCTCCCTGCCCCTCAGCCCAGGCTCACAAGCAGGCCTTGAGGTGCCTCCTCAGGCCAGAGGTGTGTTAGGCTTGGCCTAGAAAGTATTCTAAAACCATTTTTAGCACATTTTTATTGCTCACATTTGAAAATATGGAAATTCACATTAAAACGTGGGTTTCTGGCAGCTTTTGAAAATCAAGAACAGGCCACACTGGGCCAGGAGGCCGCTGAGCTGCCTTCCTCGGCCTTGGGCTGGAGCCTATGTACCGAAGTTGCCAGACCCCAGGGGTCCCCACACAGCTACCCATCTTGCATCTCTGCTGTCCCCCCCACCTGCTGATCTTGCTCCATTCCTGGCTGGGCTGGTGCGTTTTGTCTTCTGTCAAGTCTAGGCCTCCGGATTACAGGAGAAATGGCTGACTACATATTTGAACCTTAGGGAATGAAGGGTAAAGACAACATGTTTTGCTGTGTTTCTTTTCCCTTCAAGCTGTGGGAACTGAGAAAGCTAAGCACCCACAACGCTTGAGTGCCCACAGGGAGGAGGACCGTGCAGGCCAAAGGTCAGAGTCCTAGTTCCTGAAACCCACACAAAGCAAAAAGTAATATAAATCACACCATGGAAAATGGCAGAAGCAACGGCAGCTTGACAAGTCCGGCTGTGATTTTTTTGTTTAATGTTTTTGTCATTAATAACTGGCTTGCATTTTGAGCAGCTGCTTTGGACCCTTGAAAAGAAGTTTTCATCATCTCCATAGCTTGGAATTCTCTGCAGAAACTTAGTTTCAGAACACTTTAAAAATGTTTATGACTTATTGAAGTTGAAAACATGTTTCTGTACTGCTAAGTTACAGTGTGCAGGGGCAGGGTGCTGGCATTTGCCCATGTAAACATTTTGTTACATTTGAGATGCAGCAACAGCCCTGCTGGCGGTGATCAGGGTGGTTAGGGTGGATGGATGGTGGCTTTTACACTAGTGAGTTTGCCCGCAGTGTGTGGACTGTGTTTAGAGATACAGCTTCACTCATAGCAGGAATCTAGAAAACTTAAATAAGGGACCAGGAAAATGAATATAAGAAAGTGAACTATGAACCAGAGACACTTTTTGGGGGTGATTGGGGTCAGAATGGGGCGTTTGCAATTGTATGGGGGAATATAAAAATAAAATTTAAGATTAAAAAAAAAAAAAGAAAAATAAAACTGAAATAATGCCTAGAAAAAGAAGGGAAAAGGAATAATTTTGATAAAATAAATAGTATTTCCTGGGTGACTTATAGAGATACAGCTTCAAATAGTGGATGAAATGGAGCTGACCCTCCTTTCGGAATTTGATGCGTACCTGGGCCACATGGATTCAGGAGTAGGAGGGAGGCGGCTGCCCCCAAGGGACACAGTTTCTCAGGCCACCGGGTCTTAGGCCCACTGTCCGTCTCGTGACGGTCTACGTCCAGGCAGGCACGCTGAGCTGGTGCTGGAGAGGCAGCCCCGCCCGCCTCCCCTGGGAACTAGACATCGTCATACAAGTTCCTTGTCGCTTTGGCCTCAGGAGCCGTTTCTCCACGGGTTACACAGGTGAATCTACAGAGTGAAGCCGCACTCAAGGCTGCTCCTCTGACTTGGCCCCTCCTCCTCCTCCTCCTCCTCCGAGACCACCCCCCCCACACACACACATGCACCACTAGGTGGGACCTGGTCCTGTACTGTGAACAGTTATCTTGATTTTGATTTTGCTCTTTTCCTTCCAGACTTGTCTGGCCCCTTCTGCCCCTTTCCTGTGGGGCTCCACCTAAGGTGCCTTAGACTCGTGGCAGGCTTTTGGGTCTCAGTGACCCTGCTTTGGGCTGACCCTGTTTGGCTGGGCATTCATCCACCAGGGCGTGGGTAACTTTGGGTGCTTGATTTGGAAACTACATTCTTTCTCGTTTTCTTCTCTTATCGAAACACACTAATTGCATTCAAGTTCCTTTCCGTTGAAGGTCTTACACATTAGAGTATGTTTTGTCTTAATGTGGTGGATGGCAAAATGTATTCAGAACAGGCAGGTTAGGGGATCCTGGGGGTGCCCCTCACCTTGCCCAATAACACATTGGTTCTCTTCTGGTCTGTGCCTCCCAGAATCTGCTGTTCCTTATTGCTACCTGCTGGTTAGCATGAACTGAGAGTTAGGGACAGGGCAGACGCCCTGCCCTTGGGGAGAGGGAGCTGGCGGACTGATTTGTGGACAAGGCAGCATTTTGTTGCTGTAGGCTGACATCTGCTGTTTTACCTCTGTCACATAATGATTTCACTTTTGTGATGTGACCTTAAAAGCTGAGGCTCCCCAAAATATCCAGTCAAATTCATGGTAACATTCTACTACTTATTCATTCACTTAACAAGTATTTATCAGCTACCTATTATTTACCAGACACTATTCCAGATGTCAGGATTATAAGAGAGATCTAGCGTGGCCAAGACCCGTTGTCTTGGAGCTTAAGCCGTGGTGGAGGGAGACAGGAGACTTGTGTCAGTATGTGAAAGGACTAAGGATTGTGAAGGAAAACCAAACGAGTTGAGGAGCAAGAATGGCAGTGGCCTGGTCGCTCATCTCCACTGGCCAGTTGGCACGAGGTGGCTCTGGCAGTAGAGCCCGGAGGTGGGAGGAAGCGGCTGCGTGGAGGACATCCCTCCCAGGCAGGGCAGAGCCTCCAGGATGCCTCCTGGAGGGAGGGCAGGAAGTCGCCCACAGAGCGGACCTTGGTTTCCTCATCTGCGAGTGTCAGGGTTTGTTGGGAGGAACAAATGAAATCATCAGTGTGGAAATGTTTGTGTAAACCAGCAAGCGCTGTGTCCACGCTCTTCTCTTCACTCGCCTTCATGGGGCATTTGTAGCGCGTCTCAGTCATCACGGGTCATAATGGTGATATTACAGTTCTGCTCTTTCAGATTTTTTATTATTGAGGTGAAATTCACATAACATGTAATTAGCCGTTTTGAAGAGTGCAGTTCAGCGGCGTTTCGCGCATCCTCGCTGTTAGGCAACCACCAGGTCTTCCTGGTTTCGACACTTCTTCATTGTTTTTAATATTGCTTGATGCTGCCACTCTTGAAAAAGGGCTTTTTCCCTTTCTGTTTCTGGCCTTCAATTCCTGTGCTTCATCCGCAGGTCAGCCGGGCAGGTATTTACCAAACATCTGAGCAGCAGGCCGAGGGGTGCAGCGAGGGGGTGGCGGGGCAGAGACA